TGTGTAGCACTCGTGTCAGTTATGTTGCTTTTCTGCCGAGACAACGATGGGCTCCAGACTGCTGAACAAGTGATGGAGGAGCCAGACCTGCATGTCAGGATTAATAAGGAGGTTTAGTGCCCATTTGCATTTTGGAAAGGTTCAGACATATTGAAGTGATATTAATTGGGATGTACTCCTTTTATGTTAAATAAAGGAATACATCAATTAGCCTTTTTAATTTCTAAGGTGATTAACAGAATGTTAGATGATGGTTATTTGGTCGTCAGTAGTTTGATTTTTTTTCTGATAGGCTTTCTGCTCTTTATAGTTTTATATAATTGAAGTCTTGAAAAAAGAAGATATTCTTTGTTAATCCCGTGTGGGGAAATTCCGTTTAACACTCTGTTGTAAAACATGCTACACACACACACGTATAGGCTGAAATACACACACATTACATGTACATTATTTGGAGATGAAAGAGTCAGTTGAGTGTTAAAATAAAGCAGGATGAGATTTTCTTTATCAGAAACAAAACAATACCTACACATGTACAGGACAAGATCAGCAAAGACTTGAGACACACTGCTTTGTGCAAAGGTGGCGCCAAAATGTAGGTAGACCAAAAGCTCACAGAAGCTTTAAGTAACCAAAATAATGATTCATTTTAAGATTTAAACAATAGAAGATTCAGCTCACTAACTACTAATCTGACCAAGCATGTTGCACTACTTGATGATCTCTCTAGTGATACACAAACTGTGAAGGTTCTTGTCATGACCAGTTTAATAGTAGCAACATCGAATCGAATCGTGAGACACCCAAAGATTCCCAGCCTTAGTCTGTCAACGGGTCCAGTTGGATGCAATGGTATTGGTAACACCCCACTCTAGCGTTTCCTTACCCTGTTAGTGTTTAAATCTGTCTCACACCTCGGGAAGCAAAGATGAACTCTTTTTCAAATCTCAATCTCCTATCACTATCTGGAAGGTCGCTCGCACCATGCATGTAGAAAAAGGATTGTAGTCCGCACAAAAATTGTGCTGTTGAATATTTTTCATATGGGGGGAAAAATAAATCCTCAGAATGATTTGTTTTATCAGCTGGTACCCACTCATTTATTGATGCTCTGTTTGTTCGGACCTCCTTTCCCTGATATGTCTTTTTATGGAAAGAAAATCGATGTTCTCTTAAATTTCATCTCTGTAAACACCATTAAAATATTCTCTAACAACCAAAAGCAACTGAAAAGTGTTTAATGAAGAAAAAAAAAAAGAACTCTGGAAATGTCTCTGTTCCTTTCTGTAAAAGATTCAATAAGGGGATTGTCAAAGGAAAAAAAAAATGTTAAGATAAAGAAGAAAAAAAAAAAAAACTGCAAAGAAAAAGAGTCGCAATTTTTACAATACCCAGTAGCCTGTTTCACTCGCTCGGAATAAAAAGACAGTGGGCACATTTTACAAAGTGCAGCGTCTTAATTAGATGCTTCACTCTCTACAGGCTCGTTAGTGTGTCTGTGTGTACAAATGTGTTCATGACTGCGTCTGGAGCAAGTCAGTGTGGGTGTATTTTCTGTTTCTCGTGTGTGTGTGTTTGCTTCTGTGTGTCTACATGCCTGCAGTATATGTTGTGTGTGTGTGTGTGCGTGTGCGTGTGTGTGTGTGTGTGTGTGTGTGTGTGTGTGTGTGTGTGTGTGTTGTGTGTGTGCAGCACTGACAGAGCTGTCTGAAGGCTGGCAGGCTGCAGATTTGTAGCGAGTTCGGATGATCATCTTATCTCCTGTCACCGCCAGTGAAAGATTGGAGGAACCGAGCCCACCGCAGCACACACAAACAGACACACACACAATCACACACACACACAAGTACGCACACGCACACTCAGAGTCATATCTCCTTTTTGCGTTCTGTTTTTTCTTCTCTCTTGCTCTCTCACTCAATCTTGTTTTTTCCCTGTGTGTTGCTGTGTGTCGTTTCTCCTCGCTCCCTCTCTCTCAGTAAATGGTGCTGAGCCAAACACTCATTATTACAGGCAATCATTTCGACATGAAATACCCACTTCCTGCTCACCACTCTCCTCCCCTCTCTCCCTCATTTTCTTCCCTCGTCCAACTCTTTTATGCTCCTACAATCACATAATGACAGACACACACACACACACACACACACACACACACACACACACACAGTAATTTCATTCCTTGAAGTCCATTTTGCAGGGAATGGTTATTTCAGAGTGCGACCTTGGGGTCTTTCCTGTAAGCACAATTGTTCGTCTGCACACTTTCCGTGTGTGTGTGTACATGCAACCTTGTAAGGCTTTTGTGCGGTTTCTGGAGCACTGTGCCAAAAACAGAGAGCTGATTTTACGGGTAAGGAGAGATTGATTTCCCCCCCCAACTCTCAACTGCTCATTTGCCAAATTGAAATCTGATGAGCCGCAGAGGTTTTGTTTATGTGGCATTCAGACCACAGATGGTCTTTTTCAAACATTTTAACCAACAAGAACTACCTGACCTGCTGTGAAGTTTATAAGTGTAGGAAAGCATGCCCTCATTAACTACACGTTGCCATTGCTGAGTTGAATTTCACAAATGAATAGAATTTAATGAATTGATTATTTTTTTAAATAATAATCAATTTAAACAACATGGGCTTTGTGTGATCAAAAAACTATCACTGGTTGAAGAACTAATTAAAAAGATCCTAGTTTCTCTCATAATAATACCATCAATAAAGGTAAACACTTGTTATGGACCTCACTATAACAAAGTCCAATAGAGACTCATTGCTGTAGATGGTTTCTTCACTTGGTCATGAAATGAGTTAAACTTTTTAGTTTGCACTTGTGTTCCATTGTCAAAACTTAGTTCAGAAAAAGGTTTGGTCATCAGTAGTCCCCGGTCATTTGATTTTGTTTGGCTAAGGTAACTGTGTACTAGGAATGTTTTCAAGACGGACCACCACTGCTGAGTGATGTATACCTCTCCTGGTTTTTCCTGGGAATGTCCACCAGACACATTGTCCAAATAAAAATGCAAAAGCTCTAAGCAGTGAGCCACAGACTTGATAACTTCAGTCTTAACTTAATGGGCAATTCTGGATTTTCTGACTTGAAATGTTGACCCATGAGACTTTATCAATGACAGTCTTCTCTGCACATAGACTATATATGTCACATATATTGTTATACTTACAACTTCTTTAGCATATTAACTGAATGTTTTGATTATTATCCATATGAGAACAGTAGGATCAATAAACCAGTGAATGATCTGTGCTTGCTCTCTACTGCTCCCGTTTCAAGCATAGACTGTATTAACCATGGTTATAGTCTCAGTGTAATCACCCATTGGTTTGTGAAGTGGACTTTTGAAGCCTGCAGCAATGGTGGTCACCATGCTGGAAATCCTGTCTCAAAGTGACTTTTAGTCAACCTAGTAACAGGTAAAGCTAACCGCTACAATGCACCTGTCAGTCAGTCAGGTCAGCCACGTCACTAGTAATAAATAGCTCTTGGCCTTAATATAAGAAAAAAGCTGAGTTATTTAACAAACAAATCACCCTCCTGTGTAACAATTAAGACATGAGCTATTAACACAGAGTTTGCTGATAACAAATTAAAGTGCATGTATAATTACTATGGACTATAGTCATTGACTATGGTCATTCAAAGTTTATGTTAGTTAAGTTATGTCCCCACACACACACACACACACACACACACAGTCCCATTAGTCCTCAGCCCAGCTGAGAGTGACTTCTGCCGAGAGGCAATTCCACTGTAATAAAATCTATAGGGTGGGGGAGTTTAATCCTCACTAACCCCCCACCCCACCCCACTCCTCCACTCTTTCCCCCCCTCCATCCTCTCCCACTCTTCATCCTGCTTCTCCCTCTCTCCTCCCTCGTCCCTCTCCTCCTCAACTGGCTGCCGATGATAAATGAGTCAATTATGTGTGTGTGTGCACGCGGCGCTGAAGAAGGCGAGCGGATGGGGCCGTTATTACCTGTTGCGGCTGGGGGTAATGTTGCGGTATTAATCATATTCTAATTTTCCTCTGCTAAACAACCCTCCCACCACCACCTCCTCTCTCCACCCACCTCCAATGTCCCACCTCACTACACCACCCCCCACCACCACCTCCACCATCAATATATTTGCCACAAGTCTGTAAACTGCTGAAGACCCAAAATATACTACATCTCAGGGGAGATGGGGTGAGAGAGACAAGGAGAGAGAGAGAGTTTTTGATGTAACAGGGAAGGTGTTTGTGTGCTTCAACCAGTGTGTGGGTGTGATTGCAAATTCAGCTATCAGCATTATCCCGCCTTAGAGGACACATGGGACAGTTTTGGGGGTTAGGAGAGACAGGCAGACACATAGGACAGTGTTTGGCTCTTATCACATCTGTGGTGTGTGTGTGCTGCCTGACATGCTGTCAGACTGAGCAACCATCTCAGGTCATGTCCTGAGCATACAATAAGAAGTAAGGCAGATGTACTCCATTTCCAGACAGAATTGGCCTTTCTGACCCACTTAAAGCGACGTTAGTGAAACTTGGCAAAGTGTGCTGTCGAAGGTGAAAGAGGGGGGAGCGGTCAGACAGACAGAGGGACAGACTGGCAGACCAGCTGGTAATTGGGGAAGCATCAAAATGAGGAGGAGGAGTGGAGGGAGGAGGAGTGGAGGGCGCAGGAGTAGATTGAAAATTGTCCAGAGAGAGACAGAAAGAGACACCTTGGATGTGCCTGCCTGCAGTCTTGGCTGCGTTTCAGGCTCAGAGCGTGACTTCGTCTATTTCTGCTCTGCTCGGAGGTGATAATGGGCTGTCAGCACCCAGTCACCCTGCTCCCTCCTCCCCCACTGAGTGTGAGAGAAAGCTAGGGGAGGGGGGAGCAAGTGAGTGAAGAGTAATTTGTTGTCATTTTGCTTATTACATTGTGTATTTTTATCCACGATATGATACATGTCGAAACTCATGTTCTTTCTTTTTCCCTCTCTTCTCTCTGTTGCAGTTTGAAAATGGAATGTGAAAAACTGGCTACAGAGAAGACAGAGATCCAGAGACACTACGTTATGGTGAGACACACACACACACACACACACACACACACACACACACACACACACACACACACATGCTGTGTGTCTCTCCACATTAACAAGTGGCCGTGCCAAGTCCACCAATCCCTTTCATCTGCTAACAGCTGCCAAAAACCACATGCAGGACCACACACACACACACACACACCCTATATTAAAGGACTGCAGAATAAACAGCACTTATTTGGGCTGTAATCCTGTTTCTTCTCTTTGTGGATTCTTTTTTTTCATGTCCCAGATATGCATGCGGATCTGTACAGCTGATGTGTGTTCACATCTGTCTTTGGCCGTATAAAGAACCTCATACACAATATAAACCGGCCAATTTTATTTAAACACCTATGTGCTAAGAGCTGGCATCAAGTGTGTTGTCCAATTATTCTCTATCTTTTGTGTTATCATTTAAATCAACTGTTTACTTTAGAAACTATGAAATTAAATCCATTCTCCTGAAGATGTTGTGTAGCTTGATCTGTTGCAGTTTCACAGGTAAGCACGATAAGCAGGAAAAGGTAAACACAATTATTCTAAGTTGCTCTTTGATAAGTTCTTTCTGTGCCAAAGGATTTTAGGCATCCCTATAATAATTTTTAATATCACTGATGGCAGAGATCACTAAAGACGTCAGCATGTGACCATGGTTACAATCACAAAGTCCTTTCTAGAAATCTTGGCGTTTAAACAAATAAATCATGAAACAACAGATGACACGCAACATGAATGTGCTCTGCATTGTTGCCAGTCATTCAGCACTCTGTGTAAATATTTTTTTAGGAATACATGAGTTTGCTCATGTTTTCTTGAAAAGTAAAGGCTAAACCCCTTTGTTTATTTCACTTGATTTTTTTTTGCTGTCTGCAAACCACCATCCTTGTGTTACCTGTGATCAGAAAAACACAACACACAGCTGACCAAGTGCAGGCTGCACCAAAAAAAAAATAGAGAAGCTATGTGGCAATCCTGGCACAGAGCGAGGACTTGTGGGGGGATTGAAGTCTTAGTGATGAGGAGGGAGGAGGGGGGTTAGTTGGCATCGAGCACAGGCCAGGTCTCCTTTCCTGGCTTATGATTTGGGTTTGGATGAGTTTGGATGTTGCTAAGCAACAGGCAAAACTTGGCACAGCTGCTGCCGAGCGAAGCTGCCAGCTGCCAGGAAAGGCGTCTTTTATGGTGGCACACAGACACACACAGAAAGAGGAGCGAACACGCACTCGCAGAGAAAACATGCACATAAAGCACATAGATACACATGCCTACATAGTTGCAGGCTAACACAAACACACACACCTGCACACTCACACGCGCACATATGTTTGCTAACTGCCAGGAAAGATGTCTGGAGAGAGAGGACCCCTGCCATCCCCTCTCCCTTCCTGCCAGACTGTTCTGGCTGCCTAACTGCCAATCTCCACTCTCCACAAGCAGTCACACTGAAAGGCAAATGTCAGCCTGTCACTTTCCGAGGCATCTGACTTTAAAATGTTCCCTCCCTCCATCCATCTCTGAGGATGGAGAGAGCGGGAGACAGGGCGGAAAAGAGAAATCCTCACCTGTCTCTCTCTCACTCTCTGGCATTCACTCCCTCCTGCGTTCCTCACAGCTCTTTGTACATTCGGCTAAAAGTCAGGGTCAAATAGCTCACATTAGACACGATTATTGCAATAGTCTGTCACCTTCCTCTGCCCAGCGACAATTTCGCTGCCTCGCGTCTAAATCCTGGCTGCTGAAAAAGTGCCTCAGGGTCATTCTAGTGCCATTGACTTTCAGCAAAGCCAAGGTGATTGAATTAGCAGGGATGTGCTTTTTTTATGGGCACTTCAGAGTGCATGTACAAGGACTGGCATCATCTGAAGCTAAGAGGAAAGAAAACCACTTTGTGACTGGATCAGGAAATTCTGCTGCTGGGTTTAAGTGTGAAAACAATAAAATAAATCAGAATAAGTTGACGTTGTTCATTTATAAGTCAGATTAGTTGTCATTTGCACATCTTTCATAGTAAGACTATTTTATGTTTTTTGTAGCTTTTTCTTCTTAGCTCCTGTTGGAAAAAGGCTGTACTATTTGTTTTGGTTGTTTTCAACAAACCTCTCCAAAAATGTCACAAACAACAATATGTTATCTTTTTTTAATACTTCATGACGTCTTTGTCTGCAATACACAGCTCCCTAAGCCTCTTCAGTTCTACTGTGGACGGTAATCTTTTTTTTATTTCTTTTATAAAAGAGGTCACAACACAAAGTTTCATTTCTAAAAAAAGAAGCTTTTGTCCTCAAACAGAGGGGCACAGCACTTATGCAGAAAACTGCTATCAAACAGGAGACAATGTTTTTGTTAGGGACTAAGGTAAGCCCCAGATTTAAACATCTTTAGTGTTGTAGGTTATTTAAGGCAACATGTATGTCGGATTAACAGCAGGCTAAAACTATTTCTTTGTTGATAGCTCTCAAGGAATGTTTTCATAAAACTCATTTTTTTCCTATGCGGATAAAATAAAACAACAAAACCTGACCTTAAACTTAAGCTGCAGGATACTAAATCTTATGGAGATAGCAGATAAATTTGATGAGTTTTCGGGAGTCTCTCAGGTTGTGTATTTATTCTACTTTATTTGATTTAGCAGACACTTTCTTAACTTCCCTTTTAGTTTGATCAACTAATGTATTGCCTTGCTTTTTCATATTTCACAAAGTCTGCTTTGTTCATCCAGTCTAACAACATAAATGTACCCACATTGTAAATATTCAATAGAATTTTGAAGAACATTTTGGCTCTATCTACACTACACAACAATGTTTTATCAAAAAACCCCTCATCATATTCTTGTTCATGTAAACTAAAACTAACTCATGTTCTTCTGTTTTTCAGTATTATGAGATGTCCTACGGCCTTAACATTGAAATGCACAAACAGGTGAGATTCTCTCTCTCTCTCTCTCCCTCTCTCAGTCTGTGTCTCTCGACCACTGTAATGTCAGTCCTCCCTCTGATGGACCGGTATAGAAGCCCTGTGCTGTGGAGATGTTAATAAGATCTGCAAAGAGAATTCATTTCTCCACCACAGACAAACAGATGAGAATACTCTGCCCTTCTCTGAGTCTCCAGAACAGCTTCCTCTCTCACCACCAGTCATAAATCCTTGTCTGTTACTGCCTATGTGCCCCCCCCCAGGCCTTCTATCAACACCCCCAATTCTCACCTGCTTCTGAGTCCTCCATTGCACTCTCTTGATTTGTCTTTTTAATGCTCCTCTTTCTTAATCTCTGTTCCTGTCTTTCTTCATTTCCATTGATTTCTTTTTCTCTTTCTTTCTCCCCTTTATTTTTGCACCATCCCCCCCCCCACATACACACACACACACACCTCTGTCTCCTTGCACACATACAGTCCGTGCTGACTTTCACTTTAAATCAGGTCACTGCCTTCCTGCCGTCTACTCTCCTTCTCTCTCTCTGTCTCTGTTCATTTCGCCATCTCAGTCGCTTCACTTTTGTCGTGCCGCCGCTGCCACTCCACCCCCCAATCACGTTCTCTTTCCTCCTCCGCCTTCCTTCTGTTTCTTCTTCCCTCTCTTTCTCACTTTTACTGTCTATTTCTCCTCACACTCCCACATTCTTTGTTCATTGGCTGTCATTCCCTCAACCCAATCTGCCCTTTTCTTCCTCCTCCTCCACCTCCTCTCCTTCTTCCGCCTCCTCCTCTCATTTCCCCTATCCCATTTGAGCACCCCACCCCACCCCACCCCCATCACAGTCTTTATCCACCTCTCTTGAATGCTTGTGTTCTCTCTCTCTCTCTCTCTCTCTCTCTCTCTCTCTCTCTCTCTCTCTCTCTCTCTCTCTCTCTCTCTCTCTCCTGACGATGTCATTTAGTAGTTGGAGTTCTCTAACAAGAAATCATTGTGTCTCCCTTGTGGTGGGGGCTGATGGATTCAGAGGAGGGAGGGAGGGAAGGAGGGAGGGAGGGAAGGAGGGAGTGAGAGGAGGCACACTGCTTGGCTGAAAAATTGAAAGCAAAGGGAGGGAGGGAGAGATTTGGGCAAGCAAGAGGGATGAGAGAGAGAGAGAGAGTAGCGAGAAAAAGGAGGGGGTGGAAGTTCAGTCCGGCATCAATAAATCACTTAAGGGAGAGAATGGAGTGGGGAGAGTGTGTTTGTGAATGTGTACACACGCACACGCGCACGCACGCACATGTACATACGTTTTCACATACACACAACAGAGTCTAGCTGTCAACAAGACAAACAGCCTGCGGCCATAATGATGTTGTCATGATCTCTGCATGCATATCATTACTGGCCTTAACAGCCTTGTTGGGCCTGCCGCTATTTGTGTGTGTGTGTGTTTGTTTGTGTGTTGTGTGTGTGTGCACATTAGATGTCACATGACAGGAGAGATTGCATCACTGATAATTGCATTAATACATGGATAGAAGAAATGGATGGAAAAAGCGATACATAAAAGAAAGATGGACAAGAGGAAAGATGGAAAGAGAGATTATGTTGAAAAGGAAGAGATGGATAGAGGGAGGGAGCAAAGGAGGGAGGAAGAGTTTGCTCTCGGCAGTGTAGCGGAGCAGATCGAGACAGACACACACCCACAGCAAGAATCCCTGACCCCCAGCAGGAAACATACATACACACTCAAGCATACAAAATGCAAACACACACACACACACACACACACACACACACACACACACACACACACACACACACACACACACACACACACACACACACACACACACACAGACACACAGACATGTGAGGACACATCAGAAACAGATGCACACACACAGGCACAATACATGCACACAGTAAGAAAAGAAGGAGAATCGAGCATCTCTTCTCCATCACACACGCTCATGAAAATGCACACAAACACGCGCACAGACACACACTCTGTGTGGGTGGCTGAGGCCACAGCAGATGCTGTCCATGAATATTTTAGCCAAACTCCCTGGCAGAGTTTCCATTTGCATGGACCAAGTGTAAGCAGCTGAAATATTTACCACACTGGCCCTGGTAGAAGCAGGCCATGTTGTGTGTGTGTGTGTGTGTGTGTGTGTGTGTTTTTTATGTGTGTGTGGGTGTGTAACCTTTTGAGTGTGTGTTTTATTTTTGTTCCAGCTCAATCTTGGCTGTGTGTTTTTTTTTCATCAAACCAACAGTATCTTTTTTTTTCCAGACAGAGATTGCCAAGCGGCTGAATGTGATCTGTGCTCAGCTCATCCCATTCCTGTCGCAAGAGGTGACACACTCACACGCACAAACACACACACACACACACACACACACACACACACACACACACACACACACACACACACACACACACACACACACTGCACTGCTAATACATGCAGACCCTGCTCTCTGCTGTCTGACAGCAGTACACACAGACGGCGTGCACATGCATTCCTACAACAGGCAATAACTTACGCTCACACATTTATAGCTGCAGATGGACAGAACAACAAAGATCATCCTCGATAGCCAAGTGTTCATAGAAAAAAAAAAGTAAATATTACAAAAATGCTGTTTGGAGGAGAATGGATACATATTATATGCATTTTTATGTCATACCTACAGATTCATGTTACGGAGGACTATAAAGTTTTAATTATAAGTCTGATGATGAATATATTTAACTCTGATTCTTGGTTCGTTCCACAGCACCAACAACAAGTGGTCCAGGCCATGGAGCGCGCCAAACAGGTGACCATGGGGGAGCTAAATGCTTCGATAGGGGTACGTGGGCTCCCCCCTCTGCCTCATAGCGTGTGTGCCTTACCCTCCCGTGTATTGATATTCCCTCCTTTTCTTTTTTCTTAAACTGAGGCAAACAATCATAGGCAAACTAAACTATAAAATATAATCATTTAATTGAACTATTAAATTAGGACTTAAGATCACTAATTTAAAATATATATCAATATAGAATTGGTTTAAGATGGTTTCACCTGGTACCCGGACAGACAAGAGGCCCCATCAGTTGTCCCATTTTCCAAGTATATGCATTTCAAATCTTAATCAGGTGTTCATACTTTTCCAGTTTCAGTCACTGTCACTTAATTTCCTTTCATGCTGATTTGGCCGAAGAGCTTCCCGTCCTAAAGAGCCACCGCCTTGACCCTAGCATTTCTCCTCTTGCGCACGTAGCACCTTCATCATTTCCTCCACTTGATCACTTCCTGGTGAGCCACGTCCTAAGGTGCTCATAAGTCACCCAGATCTTTCTTTGTTCTGTCTCCCTCCTCTTGTTATGTTTCTTCTACTATCCTGCCTCTCTACAGCAACAGCTTCAGGCCCAGCACCTCTCCCAGCATGTCCAGGGTTTGCCAATTGGACCACACCCATCTGGACTGCCCCACCCCGGCCTGGCGCTGGGTGGAGGATCCGGTCTGCTGGCCCTGTCGGGGGCTCTGGGGGCCCAGCTGGCTGCCAAGGATGAGCGAGCTCACCTAGAGGCAGCAGCCGCTGCTGCTGCCGCCGCTGAACACCACAGAGGTACAGGAACACTTACAGTCATTGGTGTTTACTTACCCCAGTCAGTTTGGGTTTCTCGAAGAGTGTGAAGCCGCAGACACGTTTAGACCTGGAACTTAAGTTGGATTTCTTTTTTCAGAGATAAAAGCTGTCTGAGGGATGTGGGAGTAGTATAAACACTGAAGCCTGGCTTGATGGATCCTGATGATTGGCTTTACTTTGGGTTGTTGGCAGGGCATGGGAGTTCTGTTGATATTAAAACTCCTCTTGGATCTCTTTCCAATGAGTCATCAGCTGCAGAGTAATGTGAAGTGATGGTGGATAATCTTACATTAATCTTTGTCTGTGTGTCCTTATCTTCCCTTGCTCTCATGTGATCCGGTACCTGGATTGGTTTGATCCTTCTGCTGGAATGAGCAGACCGTGAAGCTGGACCAGTGAGTACACTTTACCTCAAACAAATAGACAACTTTGGCCCATATGGTAGGGTAGTGTTGGAATGTTTAGCAGGTCAATAGTGCTTTCCTGTAATGCATGCAATGAAAGTACTGAGTATTTCTCCTGTACACTCACACATGTATATCAATTAGTTCAGCAGTGTCTGATATTGTAGCCAAACAATGTTGTGCAGGAATATCCACAAAACAAAAGAACAAAAATATATTACTTTCCTTATTTTTAGAAATATGTTTTTAAATTATTGAACACGTTTAGATTGTGGTGCTTATTTTACGAATCCTTTATTAGTCAGAGAAGTTAGAGATAAAGATAAAGAAGAAAAGTACTTGGAGGTTTGCAGATTTTGAATAATATTGAAATAATTTTCCTGAAAAGATTTTTCCTATATGACAATAATAATAGGAACGTTTTGCGTTCCCTCTAGTAGTGTGCTCCACTACACCCGAATATTTATTCATGTATTACTACTAACTTTATTGGCTATATGTTTAGTGATCTTGCCTGCTGACACAAATTAAGATTATTATCATGTCACATGAAGTTTTCCCTATAATGAGCATCTCATTTGATTGTTCTGTCCAGGAAACTCATGTAATGATTGTCATTTTAGAAATCATTAACAGTGACCCAGTTCCCCTTAGAATAACGAAACAACTTTTTTAAAGTTAATATATTTCAAGGAACATTTGAGGTTTCATGGATGATTCTCTGGTCACACATTTTGTGAGCTTTGAGTATTTTGTCTGGCTTCACTTTCACATAACAGTATAAAAACAGCTTTTTGGGTCTTTCATACACTAGGATTGAGGTCACTGTTGCCAGACACTGTAAGACAGCAAGTTGGGTCTCAGCACTATATCACTGCTACTATTAAATCAGGTCAGTACTGGTTAAAAAAACGTCCTTGGTGCCAAAGTATACACGGGCAGCCGGCGTAAAGAAATCTTAAGGAATTCACTTTGGTCCTCTCACTCCTTCAGTGAGCCAGTCGATCGATTCCAGCTGATATTCTCTCACATTCATTCCGGAAGCTTATGAGGCAGACATGATTTATGCAGTGCCTCTCACCTCATTATCACCCTCTTCCTCCCTCTCTGCCGTCTCTCTCTTCTCCACTGCTCTCTCATTCCCTTTCTTTCTCCTCCTCCTCCTCCTCCTCCTCTTCTTTGTGCCTTCATGGATACCTCCCCTTTGCTCTTTTACCTCACTCTCTTACTCCCTCTTTTTCTCAACCCAACCCTCTCACACTCCTCTCCTCTCCTTCTGTCTCTCTTCCCTGCAGAGCTCTCTGTCCAACGGGGATAAGGGCCGCTCGGCAGACTACCTCAGCAATGGCAAGAAGAGGAAAGCTGATGAGAAGGAGTTCATGACGGACTATGTGAGGCACTTTTATAAAATAGTTGAAGTTTCACAACAGTGTTTCACCAAACTCTGTGCAGATCTCTCAGACCAGTGCTGTCTGTACTGTGGAAAGTAATAGATCTCCCCCCCCCCCCCATTTTCATTATTGTAGGAAGCAGAAATAGAAACAAATGTAAAGGATACGTTTCCATGTGAAGATAAAGGAATCTTGGGTATCGTAATATCATAGCTTTGAACACAGACCTGCAGTTATGAAAACAGCATTGCCTTAAAGGAATTCAACTCTCAAAGTTAAAAATCTTTAATTAATTACATTTGTATAGTCCATCAGATAACCCATCTCAGGTCACAAAAGATAAAGATTTGTTTTAGTATGTAAATGAATGTTCTTGCAGAAGAAAAAAATGTTTTATGAAACTTTAAAAATCTGTTGCACACGCCTCTGTTTGTGTGTTATTGTCTGTGTGTTGTATATTTCTACATGTAATCTCCATACATCAGACACCCTGAGCAGGAATATCTAACCTCACTCTCTCCTCTCTCGCAGGGCAGCGATGCAGATAAGAGTGATGATAATTTGGTGGTGGATGAGGTTAGTAGTCAGCCTGCCGGCCTCTGTTGGCAGCTTTTCACTGCTTTCATCTACATACATCATGTAAACACACCCAGCAGGACCATCTGAATAATGATGATAATAACAATGATAACCCTACGGCCCTTCTCTGCCTTTGTCTGCCCTTATTCCACAACATTCACAGCCATAAAGTACAGAAGCAAACACACTTGACTGCACTTTATTGTAAACACAGTGTAATCCTGTAGGTGTGGTGGTTCAGGTTTTATTACTTGTGTGAATACATGCAGGCAAGTGGACAGCAAGGTTTTCTCCAGTGAAAGATCAAAAATGGTAAATACTGAGTATGCATGACCTCTATTTGATATTCTGATGATGATCCTCTTTGACTTTCACATTTCTCCTCTGTGGATCAATATAGAGTTATCTTTAAGAATAAAAACACAAGTGTCCATTGTGTGCTGAATGATAAGAACCAAAGGTCAACCCAGCTCCTGAAATCTTACATAATGTTCAATGCAGTTTGATGAATTGATGAAAGAATGTGTCTGTCTTGGCACAGATATTCCAAAGATTTGTCTCTTACAAGCACTCATCATCAGGTTCCCATTCGTATACTGACACCGATCTTCCTGGCTGAATCATTCTTCATGTTCATATGGACATTCAATGGCCTTGAATGTGAATCCAGTGTCATCTGAATCAAAACACACTGTCCAGAATAAATACTTTTCATCTAGCATGGCCAAAAAAGCAATGCAAGTTTAATAATAAAATTAAAAAAAGAGACAAATGGCGAGGTTTTCTCTAGAATATGGACGATTGAAGAAGCTTAATATCTGCCTTTTATAAAGTTTTCTGTGTTTTGATTTCAGGACCCGTCGTCCCCTCGCAGTGTGCAGTCCTACTCTTCCAGGGAGAACGGCCTTGACAAGATGCCCCAGTCCCGAAAGGAAGGCCCACCTCAGGCCAGCCCCACCTCCCTGGCCTCCTCCAGCAGCGCCACCTCGCCATCTCGTGGCAAAGAGCCCCCACAGGTAGACACACAAATCTGTCTGGAGACACGCATGTATTCACATGACCGTTTGTGTGAGCCCATGTGAGAAGACACTTGTTTGAATCTTTTTTGTGCTGCTTCTGTTACATCCATACAGAGCACACAAGGTATTTTTTAGTATGGGAGATCAGTGTTTCCATTCCGTAGGCACACAGTGTACGCTGCTTTTTTATAGGTCAATAGTTTCTCCCTGATTTATTATACTGTAAATTCAACATCCCACACGTTCAGTCTGAGTCTGACATCTCACAGATCTCCACGTATTCTTCCTGCTCTGAGTCATCCTCATTGTTCTCCACTTTCTGTTTTTAATTATTTCTTTCTGTCGTTCCTCCCTTTATTTAATTTTTCTTAGTTTAGCTCTTTTGTGTTATGAAAAATAATTTATTATTATAACATGATTTAATTATGGTCAACTTTTATTTCAATCATGCAATCATTACTTTAGCAGTTACATGCCCTTATATGGGCATCAAAGGGGTGTTTTCCTCTGTTAATAAAGAAAAAAATGCACCAGCCTCCAGTTTATGAGAACATGACATCCATCAGTTTAAGACCACATCATGAATACGATGCAGGTTTTTCTCAAGAACTTTCTGTAGAATCAACTTAAGAAAAACCTTTAGAAGATAATGGTGAGGAAGGCAAAATGTGTTTGTATAAGTTTTCAAACTAAGTTTGTTTTATTTTCTTCTTATTCTTCTTTGCTCCTCCAGAGGGAGAAGTCCAGCACTCCAGGTATGAAACCAGGGACCCCCATGTCTCAGGAGTCCAACACTCCAGGACCCAGCGGACCACCGCAATTCAGACCTATCCCAGGCAAACCAGGTGTAGATCTCGGTAAGAACACACTGTGCTAATACTTTTATTATAAGAACAATTATCTGTAATTTGAATGTAGGCATTGAAGCCATGAAGCTTTACTGTATGATAGGAAAAAAACTGAAACGAAACTTTCTCTCCCTCCTCTCAAGAACACTGCACATACACTCAGTTAAACATCTGAGTTTTGAGCCTGTATCAGCTTTGTTTTCTGTTGTGATTATCAACATAGGTCTGTAGTAGTTGGTATGGGTGTCAGCCAGCTCCCCTCCACCCACCACCATCCAGAGCTCTAGGCTGAAATGTTCAGTAAATATTCAATGGCCCTCACTTTTTAAATGGAATGATTAGGAAAGGTGACGGGCTGTGACTGTGAGCTGAATCAGAATGAGCCTTCCTCTATTTAACTGTATCTCTTTCTCCCCTTTTTATTATTTCTCACACGACGCTCTTGCTCTGCTTGTCTTCTAATACTATTATGCATGCATTAGGACACGCTCACAGATGCAGATACATACACAGAGAGAATGTCCAGGATCTGTATGTGATCACACACACACACACACACACACACACACACACACACACACACACACACACACACACACACACACACACATATTCATGTATCATCTGGCTGCAGGAATGTATGGTGGCCAGCAGGGGTCAGTAGTGGTCCAGAACTGCACTTGGAACTGTCCTGGATTTTTGTAGAACAGCAGCTTGTTCACAGCTTGTCAGTCTTTCTCACAGATTGACAGGATCTGACCTTAAGAACATGTTGAGATGATTGTGGTCTAAAAAAACAACAACAAAAGATTAAAAAACTATATTTGTAGCCCTAATCATTAATTTGATCACTTAAATAATTACCAGGTATAAAATATTTTCCTTCCTCCAGCTCTGGGTCTAAGGAACCCCCTGGCGGTTCAGGGAGCGTACCCCCCAGGTGCCTTTGGTCTGCCTCCCCCAGGAGTGAATGGGGACCTGCCTGGGGCAGCGGGTTATGGTGCTGGTCTTCACTTGGTTTCCCCCCAGATGAACGGAGCGGCGGTGGCGGCGGCCGCTGCGGCAGGTTACGGACGATCCCCTGTGGTGAGCAAGGCACTCTGCTGATAATTTGTCTTTGCAGTGTTACTGTCATATATAATATATTTGACCACATCATAAAACCTGCAGAGAGGGCAGGAACACTCTGTTGAAAAGTCTTTTTTTGATATTATATGATATTATTCTCCTCTCCTCTCCTCTCCGTTGAGGTGTTTGTTTTTACATGAGGGTTTTACCTTGTCTTTCAGGTGGGTTATGAATCTCCCCACCCTCACATGAGGGTCCCTGGGCTTCCTGCCAGCCTTCAGTCAGCTGCCTCCGGAAAACCGTAAGTTCCCTTTCCTCTGCTATCACTCTGATCTTCACCTGTTCCCTTATAACATGACTCAGATTTCAATACACCAGCAGCAGAAAAGATAAACAATGATAAATGGTGGAGAGAAAAAGCCTTTTTGAAAACTCAAGAATGTGTTAGGTCCAAATGTACGAAAGTACCATTATTGATAAAGAATGACAAAAATGAGTTGGTGCATTAACACAAATTGCTTGAGCACACCATTTTTTGCAAAATTCCCATTGTACAAAGTACTTTTTCTTTTGGCCAACATAGCCAGCATGACATCATTGATATTTGCAGAGCATCTTATACCTCATAAAAAATGTTCGGCCTCTTTTGATGTGTGGGTTCTGTTTAAACCTGTTGAAGCCTTTAATTCTCTGTTATTTATACATTTCTTTTCCCTTCTCTGCAGTGCCTATTCGTTCCATGTGAGCGCAGATGGACAGATGCAGCCGGTGCCCTTTCCTCCTGACGCCCTGCTGGGCCCAGGAATCCCTCGCCACGCCCGTCAGATCCACACCCTGAACCACGGAGAGGTGGTGTGCGCCGTCACCATCAGCACCTCGACGCGTCATGTCTACACCGGAGGTAAAGGCTGCGTCAAGGTGTGGGACATTAGCCAGCCGGGAACCAAGAGCCCCATGGCCCAGCTGGACTGTCTGGTGAGACCTGAGGGAGGAAGGGAGATACTGATAAATGTTTTGGGACTCCTATTTATTCAAGTTTGTTGTCTGTCTTATGTCTATTAAAAGAAATGCTCCTGCACATAAAACACACTTTGGATGATGAATCACCCGTGTTGTTGTCCCAAAGCCAAATCCTCCGGTTGCTGTTGTAGTAGCACGATTAACTTTGTACCTCGTCAGCGATTTAGGAAGACAACAGCTATTGTTCCGTATAAATGTTAATGTATTGCTTTTTATCTCGTCCAATCAGAACAGGGATAACTACATCCGCTCCTGCAAACTGCTATCAGACGGACGGACCTTGATTGTCGGTGGGGAGGCCAGCACCCTGTCAATCTGGGATTTGGCCACGCCCACTCCTCGCATCAAGGCGGAGCTGACGTCATCTGCACCCGCTTGTTACGCTCTGGCTATCTCCCCCGACAACAAGGTGTGCTTCTCCTGCTGCAGTGACGGCAACATCGTGGTCTGGGACCTTCACAACCAGACTCTGGTCAGGTAAGAGGAGAGAGATTACTTTTTACTGATTTTTGTTCATGTAGTTAATACATCATATTGCTTAATTTTATTATAAGATAATAAACTCACATCACTGTTTTAGAAATTAAATGAAACCTTTAATGTCCTATAAGTATTCCGTGGTGGTTTAGGGCTTGGGTCCCTTGATATTAAGGTAAAGACACTTGCGGGTTTTATGTGTGTATGAGACCTGTGCGTCTCCTCCCTGCAGGCAGTTCCAGGGCCACACAGACGGAGCGAGCTGCATCGACATCTCTAATGACGGCACCAAACTGTGGACGGGAGGGCTGGACAACACGGTGCGCTGCTGGGACCTCCGAGAGGGACGCCAGCTTCAGCAGCACGACTTCACCTCACAGGTAAGACACAAAGTCTGAAAAGTAGATTGTTCAAAAGTTGCTGGGGATAATTTCTGTTTTCCAACTCCCATTTTTTTACCTCCTCACTTCAGCGTTCTTAATCCTCTCCTCCCTCTCTGTCTGCAGATCTTCTCTCTGGGTTACTGTCCGACAGGAGAGTGGTTGGCTGTGGGAATGGAGAGCAGTAACGTGGAAGTGCTTCACGTCTCCAAACCAGACAAGTACCAGCTGCACCTCCATGAGAGCTGTGTTCTGTCTCTCAAGTTTGCTTACTGTGGTACGTATGCACACACACACACACACACACACACACGCACATACACATGCTAGTATATGCTGACTAGGGAAGCTGAACAAATCTTCTGCAGTTTCGTTTCTTTTCTTCTCTTCCATCCTTTACAAATGCAGCGCTCTCTCTCAGGCTTCTCCATGTCTCACCTCCCCTGAGGCGTTATCTGACGATGGCTCTGTGTGTTTCTTCCTGTAGGTAAATGGTTTGTGAGCACGGGCAAAGATAACCTCCTGAATGCATGGCGGACACCCTATGGATCCAGCATATTCCAGGTAGGCTGTTAAACCCTGAGTTTTATGTACAAACTTTGTTACAGACAGGAAAGAATGTTGTGTTGTGTTAAATTGGCTAAATTTGTGATGTGCAATATAAAGGTGTTTTTGGACGGCAGGAGCTTTTTCATAGTTCTAGTAACTGTTGGATCCCTACCCTTTTTTCTTGATTCCGCACCGCATGAACTATGAACTATTTTAGTTCCTGGAACCCCATTTAGAGGAATATTACTACTTCAGAGTAGGGACTCCCAGCACCATGACAGTGAGAATGCAGACAAAAGTCCCCATGGTGTGTAGTTCTCAGGGAACTTCACCGGTACATAGTTCTCTTTATTTTGTTTTTGGGTTTTCAATTGTATGTGTCATTCTGTTTACACATAGACAATATTTATCGGTTTCCACTTGAATGGCTGACCTCAAGCTTTGTGTTAATATTGAAATGTCATGTTGTTGATTGTTTGTAGCTAACCTGTCTGCCTCTTTGTTCAGTCTAAGGAGTCTTCATCGGTCCTCAGCTGTGATATCTCCCCTGATGATCAGTTCATTGTCACCGGCTCTGGTGACAAAAAGGCCACCGTCTATGAAGTCATCTACTGAGCTCTGACCGGCAGAAACAAAACAAACTAATAACAAGGGGGCGGGGCTGAGACTCCCCACCTGCACCTATGACTGTACAGAGCATCTGTGGCATCGAAAAACACGAGAGAATCGATTCCTACTTTGTTGTTTTGTTTAAGTTTGTGAAAGAAATGAGAGCGAAAGAGGAGCAAGGGGGGCACAAAGTCACATCTCTGGAAAAAGAAACTCTGAACTTTGTTTTTAATGATCTGAGAATGCTGGTTAGTCTATAGCTGGGCAATTGCGGATTCCTCCAAAGAAATTTTGTTTTTGTTCCTTTTTTTTGACAAAATAAAACCTCTGTAGTGAACATGAAATTAGCAAAAATACCCATATTTTTTTAGTCTTCGAATTTTTTCCCAAACAGTTGGACTGCATCGAGTGGAAAAAGACCAGATGTGGGACAGAGGAAGTGAGCGAAGGATTGAAGCAGGGCTGGAAACATTAAGTGGAAATATACGCTCAATATTCTGTGCTGTGTAAAAGTCCCAGCCTGTGTCAGTCTGGCCTGGTTTGGCCTGGTGCGGTCCAGCTCAGGCCCCAGCACGTGGCTGCTCCTCTGGGCAGCAGATGTGTGGCAGATGGCAGGATGCTGTGCTGTGCTGTGCTGTGAAGTTCCAGCTCCTTCTTTTCCTCTTGGTTACATTTCAGCAGCGACATGATTGTATCATCTCCAATTCATACACAACAGAACAGGGCTCGCTTTTCTCCAAAGTGTCCTAACAGTTTTCCTTTGTTCCTTTCTTTAATTTGTTTGTCTTTGAAATTAACAAAGCTGGACTTACTCTGAAGATGCTTTTGGAGAAACCAACCTGGACCACAATAACCATAACCCAAAGGACAGAAAACTGAACTCAGTCCAAACAGCTCTCACCAGATTTTCTCTGGACGTGGCCTCATCATCATCATCATCCTTAACACTCTGCATCAAAGGTGTTTTTCTTTTGTATTTGCTAGGGCACATATGGGCAGACATTTTTTTTTTCACAGCTGCATCATGAACCTTGAACCTTGCTATATATGGACATGTAAATAAAGTTCTCTAAAGGCAACAAAGATGTTATGTGCGATGTGGATTTTCTTTGGGAGTGTGTAGCAGGTGTTTGTTGTCCGCCGTGTATCGTTTGTGTTTGTCTCTCATGAACATTTATTCCTGGAAAAACAGAAACTATTGCTGAAGGACTGATGCGGGTTTGGAGGGTAAGAATGAGGCTCTTGCCAGGCTAAACTCTGATGTCTTTAAAACTGAAAATAAAAATTAAAAGAAGTATTGGTTTGAATATTTTGCCTCTGGAGGTTGCACAGCAAACATCTGCAAACTTTCACAACAAATGAAAGAAGTGAATGCTGCGTTCTTGTCTCCTGTGATGGAGACTTTTCTGTTCACGTATAACATAAGTTATGTGGATTAAAGCCACGGCATCATGGGCAGGTTAAGATTCACTGCTCCTCTGTGACTGAAGCTTTCAGTAAATAATGCATAGTTTATTTTTTCTTTAAAGCTCAGCAACCACGCAGTTTGGTGATAAAAAGCTAGTTTGCAGTAAAATGCACTGAGGAATGGAATGTTTCAGCAACATCTTAGTGATAATGTTGGTAGTTGTGAATGCTTTGACATAAAACTTTAACTGGGAATTGAACTTCAAAAAGTTAAGCATTTATCCATCTAGACAAGAGTTACCATATCAGTGTCGAATATTGGACTGAATAATACTTTAAATCCTTTTGGAGTAGAGTTGAAGCCATGACCTCTTAGAGATGAAGTGCACTGCTGTTTATATTGCTGATCACAGCACAGGAGAGCACTTAAGCTACTATATTTTTTCAGCCAGAGTGAGCAGTGGACTAAAGATTAAAAAAACAACACAGTATTAAGGAACTTTGAGATGCTTTGTCCATATTCCTCCACTAAAACTCCTGTCAGTTGTAGGGCTTTAAGTCCTTGTTTAAATTAACCCCCTCATATCAATGTTACAGATGAATCTCCTTATTTCAAAAGAACCAAGAGCAGGATTTTATTTATGCAATAAATTCTAATCTATGCTGCCAGCCTTTGAAGATATTTTGCATGCCTTAGTTAGTCCCAACATGTCAGATGAAATCAATGTAGATGAGCGCCACTATCTCTGCTCTTTTTCCTGTGCACCGCCAACTAACGCTACAGGAGGAGACCCCCAACACTCGTCACACTTCAGGAATCCAAATCCAGTCAGTCACATTCAGCCCCATATTTAATGCTGTGTGTTGTCTGTTTTGATAATCAATGACACACCAAAGTGCCTTTTTATTTTTCTCTAAATAGATGGACAATCTTCTGTCTCAAAATATTATGAAAGTCAAACTGCTCATAAGTGATGAATCAGGTTTTGCCTGTTAGTGACAAGTTTTCAGTTTTTCAGATTGTGCAGGTTTACTTTGTGATCAGGTGAGGACAAAGGTGGTGCATGTGGAGAAAGTTAAGTATTTTCTTTTGGTTAGCTTTGTTCCTACATGATTTAAATATTGGTGGGAAAAAAGACACAACAGCAGGTTGAAAGGATGAACACAAGTTTGGTTTATTTTTCACACATAGTATTTCTTGTACAGCACATCAGAAACGCATCAGGAGGGTAAAAGACACAGTGCATTATAAAAAAAAAAAATCCTTGGCTATTTGAAGGAGAAACTAAACATGGAGTTGTAAAATGAAAGAACAAAAAAAAAACATTTTTTTTTACAGTTGAAACAGAGAAAGCACAGGCAGGGTGCGACACGTTACTGACAGTAAAAGAAGAGTATCAAATACAATGTCCCAAATATTCACGCTATACCACCAACTGCATAGCCATTATACAGCATTGTTCTGTAGTAGTAGTATACAAGCTTGTGTATGAGAATATTATTTAGGTGTGCCAGTTTCCAGCAGGGAAATACTGTACAGATGATCCCTGACTCTTGGCTGGTACAGTAGAAGAAGTTCCTCATTATTTTCTATTTTGCAGCGAGAAACACAACAAAATCTGTCTTGAAGTTCATACAATGGAACTTAATTGCATGCTAATGTAAAATTAATCGCTCTGTAAAAATGTGGCTGTTAAACCAATCACTGTACTTGCCGTAGTGGAGCTTTAGTGCAACATCCATGCAGTTAGAAGTGGGATGTCTTAGTTAGTTGAATCTGTATCGTTGTGTCCCAGCTGATTCCTGCTGTACACAAACTTAACGGAAACGTAGATAAGTTGTACAGTGGGGACTGAAACAGACTATAGTACATTCACTACCACTTGAGGAAAAAATGGGGAATAAAACAAAAACAACAAGCAGAAGACAGAGGAGAATTTCTCCCCAATGGATTGTATCATTTTTTAGTTTTTACATGGGGCCGCTGATGTTTGTCCTCTGCTTATCACCATCACCAAGGATAAAAATACACTGTTAAGAAAAAAACAAAATGGAAGAACACAAAGAAATGTCCTGCCTGTGTTAAGTTTGATTTTGTGTGTTCATGTGTGAGCGTGTTCTGCTGTATTTGCTCCCCGCAGTCATAGGCAACCCCAATACATAAACATATCATTACATAAGACAATGAGTCAATATTCTTAAAAAAAAACAAAAAACGCAGTAATATATGGGTAATCAAAGAAAAGCTTGAAATGTGCCCTTTTAATCTCCTCATGGGTGATGCATATTGTATTGGAGGATTGGAAAGTAAGAGCCATGTTTTAAAGAACAGATGTTTTGCTGTTCGCTTTCTTGATGACTCTTGCAGATTAAATGTTTGATACCACTGTCTCATCTGAATAGTTCACATTAAGCTACAGCCACCTGACCGTTAGCATTGGATAGCATGCCTGAAAATGGAGCCATGCTAGCTGTTTCTCCCTGTTTTCAGTCTTGCTAAGCTAGGTTAGCAGCCAGCTAGTGGTGGCTTCATGCTTTAGGCCCCAAGATGTGGAAGTGGTTTTGATCTTTTTCTTTCCATCTCAGCACAAATGTAATTAACATATTTACCAAATCTTCACATGATTCCTTTACGGTGTTTAGCATCTCAATTAGTAGCTTAGCAAAAATAAGCCAGAGTTCTTGAACACTTAAGCAGGCAGGCAGAGGTTGGCGATAATGACTTTGATAAACACGTAATGTCATCTGGTTTGTAAATCAAAACAGTTGCATAAAAAAATGACAGGGCTGGGATTGGATGCTGCTTATTTGGCTGCTGATGATAGTAAAATTGCCTGGTGTTAATTTGCCCTGTTGTCTGCCTTACAGTAAAGTTGGCGTGCTGCTTCTTCATCTAGCTGACAGCACCTTTAATGAGAGTGAGAGCAGCGCTTGGTGTCAGGAGAACAATCCAGAGGAATTAGAGGGAACAGCTAGGCGGATGTTCTGTGTTTGTGTCTGCGGGCCCTGGGAGATTCCCATTGACTCGGCTGCTCATTAGACGCTGCCTTTGTCAGACCAAAATAAAATAGATATTAAGCAGTGAGAAGGGGAGCGCTGCCATGAATGTTTAATTGGGTGCTCTGTGTTGTGTGTGTGTGTGTGTGTGTGTGTGTGTTTCTGTTCCAACGTTTACCTCAAGGAGCTGGATCCAAGTGTGTTTGTGTGTACTTTAGTCCAATGACGTGCGCCTCCTGTGTATGCGTGAGCAGGCCTATGTTTCATGTTGGTGTGTGGGGATATCTGAAGCGTCATCGTTCCCCAGCTCCTGACACCTCTCTGTGGGGAGAGCGAGCTGCGGCGTCAGCCTCATTAAGGCTTCCACTGTCTGGCTAATGAATCGATTGTGTGGTATCAGTGCTCCTGGCTGGCGCTCCCACAGTGCTGCTCCGCGCCTCCTCTGGGGGCCTTCCTTCCACTGAGCTCTTAATCAGGAAACAGCCCTAATTACCCGCCCCCCCCCCCCCCCTCCTCTTCCTCCCTGTCATTTCTCTTCCTTCTCGCTTTCTCTCCTCCTCCTCTTTTGCTTTCTGACTTTATCTTTATGCTCCACCGCCCTTTCCCTTTGTCCTTCTTATCGTGCTACTTCCTCTCTCTTTGCTATCATGCTTCATCCTTGAGCTAAATAGACAAAGAGGGGGAGGGGGGCATTTATAAGCTTCAATAGTAGCTTATATCACAGCAAAAATAAAGATGGAGAAGGTGTGATGTGTAAGGTTTGGGATTAGGAGGACAGAGACGGGGGATGCTGCTGTTGCTGATGTAAATGAGGATCAGGATTGGTTTGCAGGGCAACTGGTTAACTGCTTGCCCCTTCTCTTTCCCCTCCTCCTTTTTCATTAATGTAAAAAGAAAAAAAAAAACACCCTAAACACTTCGTCCTGTCCCCTGCCATCTTGTCTCTGCCCCTCAGTACACCACCTCATACACCGTGGCCTTCTTGTCCCCGGAGCCCGTCACTATGTACTTGTCGTCCGGGGAGACGTCGCAGCTCAGCACAGACGAGGACTCCTTGGACTAAGAGCGGGTAAGAGACACAGACACAAAGAGAGAGAGAGAGAAAGAGAGAGAAAAAAAACGTGTAAATAGAAGTGTGGAGACAGATGGAGAGAAACAAACCTTAAAAGAAAGATGTTAGAAAAATATGACTCATCACTAAATACTCAATCATACAAGACATATTTGCATTTCAAAACAGTAGGCAATTATTTCCAAACAGACGACAGCACTGCTCCAGGATGCTGACTCATACGTCTGCTCTCTCTCTCTCTCTCTCTCTCTCTCTCTCTCTTTCTCTGCAGCCTCATTAGCTGCAGGTTTAAGCATCACTAGCTGCACAAGTCTGACTGACCGTATGAACCAGCAAAATGCACAACCCCCCCTTCTCTCTGCTCTGTGTGTAAGGCAGACCTGGGCACCTGGCTTTTGATGATCTAAAGCTCCCACCGCTCCCCCTCCTCCCTCCCCCTCTTCCTCCCACTGCTCCATCATCATTTATCTTCCTTCCCTTTCTTCCCACACTCTGTTCCACCTCTTCTTTCCCCTACATCCTCTCAGGCTCCCAATTCTCATGTCGACCCTCATCCTCCTCCTCCTCCTCCTCCTCCTCTCTTAACTCCTCTTCTCTCCCTGCCACAAGTAAAGCAGAGCTGTCAATCAACAATCAACTGGCAAGAGGCCATTTCACAGAGGATCCCTCATACTATGCCAGACAGCAGGTGAGGAGTGTGTGTGTGACTTTTTTTTTTTTTTTTTTTTTTACAGTAGCCTATTTGCTTTCTTTGTGACATTTTTTCACAATGTTTCTGCTTCTTCAATAGTTAGTCAAAGGGCTGAACCTCTGTCTCTGTCTTGGTTTGTGAACTTGAAAACAAAAGGAAGTGTGTAAAACTGCTTTATGCTGTAACTTGTGAATATATAAGACTTTTTTCATTTTACCGAAGCGAACCCAAGTAAAAAGTAAAAGAAACATCAGGAAAGCATCACACTAGAAAACAAAAAATCTCAGAAATTGACAATATCAAACAGAGATGTGCCCTCTTGACTAAGCAGAAGTTGTTTCTTAGTTTTTTAAAACACTCGTACACTAACTCTCTGTCTTGTCAACATGAAGCTGAAGAAACACCGTGGTACAGTTTTAGTGACCACAGCCTGGCAGAGCAGGTAAAAGCAGACACCTTAGGAAGACACAGTGTGGTCACTGTAATATAGAAACAAAACATATTTTATGTACTTCATTATGAAAATTCTACTTTGGGATTAAAAAGTATATCTGTATGCAACAACGTAAGAGAAAATAATAAATGTCTATAAAACATTAGAAAAGGGAAGATTGCACAATTTTGTCAAAGCCTTGTAGATTTCATGCCTAGAGTCCAAAACCAATCTCTCTTTCTTAAGAAATGACTACTGCCTTATTCAAACTATAAAACAGCATAAGTGAAATATTTTGAATTCCTACATATCACCTTCTAACCTCACACTATCAATACAAAGAATCAGTTACACAACTTTAACCAAAGAGAAAATGTCCAGGGACCCTATCAATTAAAAAGCAACAACCTTGACCTTGACAAACTACTCAACCTTAAGTTTTATGTGGCACAAAAACACAAAAAGGTAATAGAAGCAAACGAAAAAAAACCCTTGACAACGTGTACAAAGCCTGACCTTAGACAGAGGAATACATTTGAAGTTTTCACAGCCATCTAAGAGATTCTTAGAAATGATCACATGTCAGGACATCTGCATTAAATAAATGAAGGGGGAATTAAAAAAAGAAAAAAGCTCTATTGGCTGCAAAATACATAACTCAGTGTCACAACCTACCCGTAGACATTTATCTTTTAATATCCAGTGTATGTTTTACTGTTTGGTTTCTCTGTGATAATCATTTTATGTAAAAGTTCATTTGTATTCAGTCATAATGTGACTAATACAAAGTGATGTACATCAGAGAGTAAGTACAACACTAATCCATTCATACACCACCACCGAAGCGATGCTGGGTGAAGTGTCTTGCCCAAGGACACATCGGACATGTTGCTCAGCTGGGGATTGAACTCGTCCTTCCGGTTGAGAGGCGATGACTCTACCAAATGAGCCACAGCCGCTCTATAACTATACATTCACAATCATGTCCATGCTTGTTCTCTCTTTTCTCTTCTCCATTTATCAGGAATAGAGAGAAAGAAAAAAGAGTATATGTAACAAACCAGCCATAGGCAGGAGAGAATGTGCCATAGAGGATCAAAAAGTGACGAGTGAAAAGATAACAAATATGGACCAAAGCAAGGACAGTGATAAACCAGAGGACAGGGACAGAGAATAAACACAGTGAGGGTAGAGGTACAGATAGATCAGGAGAGGAAGATAAAAATGAATAAGTGCACACAGAGAGAGAAAGGACAACAGTAAACAAAGAGACAAGGAGAGATAGAAAGAGAAAGAGGAAAAAAAAGAAGAGAGAGAAACTGGAAAGGACAGTGATAAACCAGAGGGGAGGAATATGAGGGAGAAAGAGAGAGAAAAGAGAGAGAGAGAGCAGCTCTGTATAACACAGAGACAGGAGGGAGCTGTTTGGCAGGAAAAACGTTTGGCATTTGGATAAAAAAGCAGATAGCCAGCAGTCTCCTTTTAGCCCACTGGGAGAGACAGGAGCCGCTAACCCTGCTGCCTACTGTAGCTTACAGAAAAATGACAACACACACACACACACACACACACACAAAACAGCCAGCTCAAAGGTACCTTCATCTCCCCTCGCTAGATTCATTCACACCCAGATGAACTGGCTCAGCGAAAAATATTGCATCCTTGCATATTCATTTTACAACATCAACCTCAAACGGAGTATTAGAACAAGATTGAACTATTATCACATTTGTTTTGTGTTGTGTTTGAGTGAGTGAGTGTGTCTGTGTGTGTGTGTGTGTATGTGTGTGTGTGTGTGTATGGCAGCCTGCACTGTCTGATAAACCTCTGCAAGTCACTATGGATCAGCGTACCAGAAATGTAAAAAGTTAATCGTTTACTCTCAGAATCCCCTCATTTTTCCTTTTCTTCTGCCTCCAGGGCTCAGTATGTGTTCGTGTGTGTGTGTGTGTGTGTGTGTGTGTGTGTGTGTGTGTGTGTGTGTGTGTGTGTGTGTGTGTGTGTGTGTGTATATGTGTGTGTGTCTGCTACACACACAGAGCATAAACATCCTCAGAAGATTGCACTCATGTCTCACCTGGAAAATACTGGCTCCGTATGGTGTCCTCCATGCATTCAAAAGATTGTCTTTTCCTGTACTCACGAACCACTTGCCTGAAGCAACACAGACCACACACAGACAGTATCAAAGGTTAAAGAAAAGGAAAAACTGGGCCATCATATTGAAAAATAGCCAGAAAGCAGTGAGAACATTTCATTGCAATCAAAGTTGTTGTGTTAAGGTGTCCATACCACAGTAGGCAAACTTGAGAGACAGAACACAGCTCTCATGGAGGTGCAGCTGGTACTTGTCTGGTTTGGAGACGTGAAGCACTTCCACGTTACTGCTCTCCATTCCCACAGCCAACCACTCTCCTGTCGGACAGTAACCCAGAGAGAAGATCTGCAGACAGAGAGGGAGGAGAGGAATCAGAGAAGAAAAAAAGGTAGAAAGTGAAATGGAGATCGAGAAAAGGTGAAGAGAAGAAAGGATGCAGGAATGAAAACAAAAACAAGGATTGGGGAGGATGTGAGGGGATGAAGGAGGAAAGATGATAAGATTGATGGAAGAAAAAGATGTTGAGTGGCATTATAAAAAACAAACAGATGACAAAAGGAATCAAGGAAACAGTGGAATGATGTAATAGAGTTGGAACATGGAGTGAATTAATAAATGGGGAAAGAGAGAGAAAATGGAGTGACAGGAGGTGGCAGACGGAGAGATACGGCGAGGGAGAGAGAAAGTCATTACATGGCAGATCGAAACTCATCTGACAACAGTGGTCAACTCTATAGCTCTGTTATGGCAGTGAAGAGTGAATAACAGACGCAATGTGTTTGTGTGTGTGTGAGGGGATGTTAGTTGAATTCTATGATGTTTGTTCATGTTTATTTGGTTTGTGTGCTTTTCAGTGTGTGTTGGTGTAAAAACCTGTGAGTCAAGGTCCTGCTGTGTGTTAGGATTTGTATGTTTTGTCAGTAAACTCGTGATTTGAACTCTGTACATGTGCTGAATATAACTTGTTTCACCCTGTAAGTTAAAAACAGGATTTTTTTTTTTTGTGAGTTGTGTAAATCTCAGTGAAGGTTTGTGTGTCTTACCTGTGAGGTGAAGTCGTGCTGCTGAAGCTGGCGTCCCTCTCGGAGGTCCCAGCAGCGCACCGTGTTGTCCAGCCCTCCCGTCCACAGTTTGGTGCCGTCATTAGAGATGTCGATGCAGCTCGCTCCGTCTGTGTGGCCCTGGAACTGCCTGCAGGGAGGAGACGCACAAAAGCTTTACAGATGCACACAAACACATGCATACGCATCGTTACGCAACCTGTGTGTTTATCAAATATGTTTGAATCCATCTCTCCCTGTAGCACCTGGTGCCCTCCCCCCACCCACACTTGAACCTTTCTTCCCTCTTGGTTTCATCTCTCTTATATTTACACAGCCTCCCCTCCCTATCTTCCACATCCCTTCTTCTCTTACCTTACTAGAATTTAGTGTTGATCCTATCCAAATCCCCTAAGGCTCTTTTATTTGACTGTAGGGTTAGGTAAGAAAGCCCCAGACGGCAACGATTTTTCCTCCTCATTTTCATCTCTGATATTTTATTTCCCTTTTCTCTTCTAACCTGAAGAAGTTCCTAAAATGTTTCCACATCATTCAGCTTTGCTTTCCCTTTTGCGCGCTCCCAACTGAAATCTATTTTTGAAAGCAAATCTTTATTTGCTTTTTCTCCTTTTTCTCCTCTTACCTGACCAGAGTCTGGTTGTGAAGGTCCCAGACCACGATGTTGCCGTCACTGCAGCAGGAGAAGCACACCTTGTTGTCGGGGGAGATAGCCAGAGCGTAACAAGCGGGTGCAGATGACGTCAGCTCCGCCTTGATGCGAGGAGTGGGTGTGGCCAAATCCCAGATTGACAGGGTGCTGGCCTCCCCACCGACAATCAAGGTCCGTCCGTCTGGGAGGATTTTACAGGAGCGGATGTAGTTATCCCTGTTCTGATTGAACAAAATAAAACAATATAAGTATTTCAAACATATTGGTTCAGGAATTAAATTGCTTGGAATGCTTGTTGGTGTTTCTATTTTTTATTCTCAACACTTTTGTGTATCTGTTTCACGACTTTTCAGATGTCTCACCAGACAGTCCAGCTGGGCCATGGGGCTCTTGGTTCCCGGCTGGCTAATGTCCCACACCTTGACGCAGCCTTTACCTCCGGTGTAGACATGACGCGTCGAGGTGCTGATGGTGACGGCGCACACCACCTCTCCGTGGTTCAGACTGTGGATCTGACGGGCGTGGCGAGGGATTCCTGGGCCCAGCAGGGCGTCAGGAGGAAAGGGCACCGGCTGCATCTGTCCATCTGCGCTCACATGGAACGAATAGGCACTGCAGAGAAAACAGAGAGAAAGGAAGAGAAATAAATCAAAACAGAACTTTGGAAATGAGAGTTTGTACTGAGAAGGAGATTAAAGGACTTGAGAAATGGGCCTAAGACAGGAAAAACAAGACAAAATCAATCAAACAATGAGCTAGTGGAGGCAGAGAAGCTATTCATGTAAATATGCATAATGCACAACAAGTTAGTGTGCAAGTTGTGAAGTTTGACCGTAATGGCTTTGTAACTCCTGTAATATTTGTCCAAATTCAGCAATCACTTGGCCCACAGTAGCTGTGGGAGAGAATGTATAATAGCAGATTGTATTACAGGGCAGAGTCAGTGTGGCATTGCTAATGGCCGATCAATACTGAAGCAGTTGGAAGCTAAGGCTGTTTTATGATTTCAAATTAGCACCGTAAGAATGAATTGCTGCTCTGCAACAAATGATAAAAACAGGACAATCTCTCAGTCAGCAACCCAGAGTGGATGGTGTGAAAATGTGCTGGACATCTAACACTGTCTACAATGAAAAGGGCTTTCAGCTGTTAGACAGGGTTAATGTGAGACTATGAAAAGCCTTGTGTGGATAAAAAAAAAAAAGAGCAGCTAGGGGAAAACACTAATAATCTGGATTCTGATTCAGTTGATATATGTTCATTTTCTATGACCGAGCTCAAGTACTGAGCTTGATTATCCAGCTCAGCTTTCACATACTCCTTTTTAAACTCACTTTTTGCAAACAACACAGTTCACTAGCCTGTGTAATTAGAGAGCATTCTCAAAGTATCTTAATTGTGTGAATTGTGTTGGAAGAAAAAGGCATTAAATATGTTCATTTTTGACAGAAAAACTCACGGCTTGCCACCGGAGGAACCAGGCAGAGAGGAGGAAAGTCCTGGAGCTCTCAGGTGAGACCGAGAGTCATACGCCACCTGGTGGGGACAAGAGAGAAGAGAAACTATAACAGCTTGACAAGAACTAACTTGTAAACTTAAATATGGAACAAACTATTTCAAGATATCCATAAAGCATTTAGAAAAAAATGAAAGAATACCAAAATTCATTCATTTTTTTGGAAAGATGAAGGTCTCCAATTAACAAGGCAGAATAGTTGTAAAACAACAAAATCTTTCAAGGGCCGACCAAAAAGTCTGATAAAATTGTAATGAGTATAATTGTGACTGTAATGTGTGTGGTGCTGTGAGTGTACTGTTTTTCCCCTGAGGTTGGTAAACAGAGCACATTAGTGAAATCTATGACTTGAGGCTAGTTAACCTGAAGCACTGTGGGAGATACGAGAAGTGGCTACATACTAATGCTAAATAAATACATTTGCCAGAACTGATTGTCTATTTGTGTAAGCTTCAAGTGCTATGGATTGGCAGGGCTAGGTTTAGTTTAGTTTAATCTAGTTATGTCGAGCTAAGCTAGGTCTAGTTTAGTCTAGTTTAATCTAGTCTATTTTAGTTAGGTCTAGGTTAGTCTAGTTTAGTTAAGTCTAGTCTAGTTAAGTTAAGTCTAGTTTAGTTATGTCTAGGTTAGTCTAGTCTAGTCTAGTTTAGTCTAGTTTAGTTAGGTCTAGGTTAGTCTAGTTTAGTTAAGTCTTGTTTAGTTAAGTCTAGTTTAGTTAAGTCTAGTCTAGTTAAGTTAAGTCTATTTTAGTTTAGACTAGTTTACATAGTATTTTAACTTTTGTTACTTTCTTTGCAGTTTGTGATTTCAGCTACAAAGCTACAACTAATAATAAAACTGTGAAACTCATTTATCCCTTGTCTCTCAGCGCTCTGACAGTCATTGGGTTAGGTCTGAGGTTAGACAATAAATCAAACTCTGACAGAAAAGAATAATGTGGACTTCACTTACCATGGGGCTTCGGGAGTATGCGTTTGCTGCTGCGCTCATCTGTGGGGAGAGTGTCAATGCGCCTCCAAAGCCTCCTGGGCTGGCTAGCTCCCCATTCAGGCCTGCGTGGGACACCACTCCAAAGTGAGCTGGGTATGAACCGGGGGGCACAGACATGGGACTGCGGAGAGCTGGGGAGGGAGGGATTGAAGGATGGAAGTAAAGAGGGGGAAACAATACATGTGCACAGCAAGCACAAACACACTCACAAAGGGGATGAGAAGATTGAAAACCTTTTTTCTTGTATTTCACTTTTTTTTATTATTTTTTTTAGCTCAACACCAGAAAATGTAAGACAATGGTTGGTCTCTATGGGCTGTAGAGGAGCAGAACAGTTCAGCCTTGACCATGAGCACAATGACATTAGTAAGAGTAAGGGGGATCTTACTCTTTTTGTGTTTCATTGTAGTTTTACAAACTAAAGGACACATTTAAGTTTCACTTTACATGAGTTATTAAAAATAATAAAACTCTGAGGAAATGGAAAACAAAGGGGCAAGAGGTTTTAGGACATGAAAGGCAGAGGCTGACTAGATGCAAGTCCCATCCAAATCATGATGACAGTTTTATAGGCAGCGTTTTTTTTTCCAGCATGAAGTACATTTTAAGGAATGATTGATGGATTTTTTTCCCCCATCAATTTTAGACAGAAAGCCACATTACAATTTTGGGGTGAAATGTATTTGACACTTTCTGGGTTGATGGTTACAATGAAACAAGATGATTATAAATGTATGTAGACGATTAATGATGTTACAGCTTGTTATATCAGAGCTTTTTCCCCCAAGTTACAACATTAAATCTTTTCTCAGTTTAGTTATCCTCACCAAGAGGGTCTGCACTCGATGCTGCTTTGCTGACCAGACGTAGGCAGGAGGTGCTGGGTCCAGGGGCTCCTGGTGCTCCTGGGGTGAGGGCATCACGGTGGGATGGGGAGGGGGTGCCAGACTTAGACAAGGGAGACTGGGACTTATCCATCTGTAAAGGTGTCAATCAAGACATACAACCAGTAAAAATCATGGCCGATTGAAAGACTCGTAACTTTTTGATGTCAGTAAAAAGGGGAGTACTTGTCCCAGTGGTACTGGCATAGCTATTAGAACAGCTACAACTGTATTAAATACTCATCCATGAAGCCTCTTAAAGTAGTGTAATACGACAAGGACAAGTTACTGAACAATATTTATCAGATATAAGAGTTTAAATAGTTTTTATTCCAAAAGCTAAATCCCATAAATGATAGTAAAACTTGTATCTGGAATGTGCAACCTAAGGGAACAAAGTGAAAAAGGCTGAGATCTTCAGACTCATTAAACAGGTTGAAAGCAGCAACATATACGACTGAAAGGGAAAGCAGTCGGCAGCATGCAGACGTTCCTGAACAATCTCTCCATCTATCTTACTTGTGTGGAATCCTTGGCCTTCCCTGGGGTGGGGCTGCGGGGGTTTGGGGTGGAGGGGGCCTCTCCTGTGTTTGAGGAGCCTGGGAGCTCTTTCCTCAGGGTAGGAGCCCGGTCCAAGCCGTTCCCTTGAGGGGAGTGAGGAGGGCTGCCCGCAGGAGAGTTAGGCTCCTGAATGACAAAGATGAAAAATTGGTTTTAAGTTGTGCCACAAGTATAAACTGGAGGTTGTTTCTGTCCTCCCAGTCTCAGTGTGTAACATAATGCTTCTACTTTTTTATTGAGTCCTCCTCCCTTCACTTCATCCCCCCATTTCGCCTCCACTACATTCATATTGCAGGCAGAGTAATCAACAAAATGCACTGAAGCACTTTGGTGACTGATAGAACTTCAAAGCAGTGGCTTTTTCCTAGATTATTATTGTCTCAAAGGTACCTGATGCAACATGCCCAAACACAAGCAGCACCTTCATTTGTTTCAGCAAGAACAACAACTTACTGTCTTTTTTGTTGCAATATTTTTGTATTTCTAGCCATGGTGTTTACATCCTGTACATTGTTTTCATTACTTTCTCTTTGTTTTCTTTTAGTGTTTAAGCATTGATTAGCAACACAGAGTTTGACATGTTTCAAAAGTTTGTTTAAGAGATTCAATATATATTTAAAAAAGTAAAAATGGTGACTGTTACTTATAGGATACATCAAACATGCAGACTGTGTCCCTGTTACAGCTGCTTTCATCACTGGAGACCCTTTTGAGCCAGAGCTGCCTCCCCCCAGAACACAGTGCTGGAGTTAGCACTTCTCACTGGGCCATAGTGATCAGCACACACATTTAATTGCTAGCACTCACACACGCACACACGCACACACACAGTATGTGCACATAAAGGAAGGCAGACGCACAGACTTTCCTGTAGCTGTAAAACATGAATGTGCATGGCCTTAAACAAGCATACAGTACAGAACCATATAGATTTATACACACACATCAGTTACAAGAGAAATCCCCTCCCTTCTCTGCCATTACCCACATTTGGGGTTTTTTCTTTCTGCTTTTATACCAGTTTCTAAACCACACAAGAGACCAGTTTTGCTTTTGTGTGCAATATCAAAATACAGAGGGCTTAGATTAAACATATTTTGGTACACTGTGTGAAGTATTTAAAGAACTAAAACTATTCCAGAGGCATTAGCAGCTTTGCATATATTAAAATGAACCAGTTTGCAGTAATCATGAGAGAAAGGGGGAGAAAAGAGGGAGGTGAAGCAGGATGAAAGGAGTAGGAAAGAAATAATAAAAGGACAAGAAACAAAGATGGAAGAAGAGAAGCTTCAAAAAATACATTGAGGATGTAGATGAGAACATTTGTAGAACAAGTGTGTGTGTGTGTGTGTGTGTGTGTGTGTGTGTGTGTGTGTGTGTGTGTGTGTGTGTGTGTGTGTGTGTAGGCTGATAATAGGAGCTCTTCTTATTAACAAGGAAAGCTGCAGTGGAAAACTGAAGTAGCTCAATACCTGCTGACTTGTTTCACATTTCATGGCCACACATACTCAATACACACATCGACAGATACGCCGACAAACCAAGGTTGCTGTAGAAACCTTTCAATGAAACAGAGAATGCCAAACAAGAATTCAAATACAATGGTGTGTGTGTGATATTTTGAGTGCCTTATTAGGTTGAAAATTAGACATATTGTCAGGTATTTTGCCAAGATCTCCATTTCAGTGATTTTTCTATTGTTAAAAGGAGAGTATACTTATTCACTGTGAACATTCAACGAGCAATTAATCCTTAATTTATAATATATGAAATCATAAAGAATTAATGTCTGTAGGTTCTGGACATATTTTCTACTTCTACATGACATTTTAAAGACAGAGGGATTCATCGAAAAATTAATTTTTTGAAAAATCAATAAAATAACTGTTCAATTTAATCTCATATCAGTTGTTGACTCACACACACACACACACACACACACACACACACACACACACACACACACACACACACACACACACATACACACACACACACACACACACACACAGTTCTGCATTATAAATCAACCTATGGACAGCTGGACTGATAGGGTTATGAAAAGGATAGAGGGTGGTTCCTTCCAAGTAGTGGAAGTACATCTATAGTTGTTCCCACAAGCATAACTGGTCCTCCTAACATTGAACTCATGCTTTATTCATGTGTGGGCTTTTACCCAGAGTCAGAGAGATCCTGTTGGATAAAGACAGCTTGTTACATGTGGCTTTGTAAGGAAATCGAAGATGTTTTCTGCAACAGGGATGTATAGCTCTTGCACAAGGATGTAGGGGAGAGTGGGCAGAGTTGGATTTAAAGGCTGTGATTGAGGAGTTTGATATTTTCCATAGCGGAGAAAATTCTGAGTTAGCATTCACACTGAAGGTGGAATTTTTTGAAGCCATAAAATATCCACTATGAACCACAGACAATTTCTTTAGGAGACTGAATTAAAATTGAATGTAAATAAGAACAAATGAGTCAATCATTAAGAATGATCTCGCTAAATAAACAGAGGGAGCAGTTCCTCTTCCTTGGAGCCCATGGTTCTGCAAATGCATATCTTATGGCTATGCTTAACTGTCAGCCGGGGACAAAAATTAAGTAGAGGTTTATTTAAACCTGTCCGGTAACTTACTTCATTGGAGACATCCACTACAAGGTTGTCTTCACTCTTGTCTCCATCGCTGTCCTGAGCGGCAAAGAAGACAAATAAGCGATGAAATAACTCTCACAGTGCAGAACTTGAATAATACAGATGGAAACACAAATCGATACATCAATATGACTGGCTGCTCTTTGCTTCCTCTCACAGGGTGTCCACCATGTACAATTTAACACTGACACACTATAGGCCTACAGCATGTGTTCTCTCCAAACATCTCATACAGAAACTATTTCCATCTCTTACTTGTCCTCACACAAATGCTGTTGCTCTTTCTCCATCCATGGAAGATTTTTACTCTATTTGCTCTTTGTCAAGTCATTTCTCCACATCTCTCTGGCCCTTTTTTTCTGGGGTAAGAACGATGGCACTTATTCACCATGGCAACAGAGCTTTGATGTGATCATGGCCTGATATTCCTATTGACATCAGTGTGGAGCGACATCAGCACCTAATTATACCGAGCCAAAACAGGGCTATGTCTACAGTCTATTCCTAGGACAGAAATACAGATGCAGATGGCGGGAGAGAGAGGGAGAGGGAGGGAGGGAGAGGAGAGAGAGAGAGAGAGAGAGAGAGAGAGAGGGGAGAGAAAGAGAGGGAGGGAGGGAGGGAGGGAGGGAGGGAGGGAGGGAGAGAGACAGAGAGAGAGAGAGAGAGGGAGAGAGAGAGAGAGAGAGAGGGAGAGAGAGAGGGAGAAGGAGGGAGGGAGAGAGAGAGAGGGAGAGAGAGAGAGCGAGGGAGAGAGAGAGAGAAGGAAAAAAGGGGAAAAAAGAGGAGGAGACAAAGAGAGGGGGACAGATAGAGAGAGAGAGAGAGAGAGAGGAGGAGAGAGAGAGAGAGAGAGAGGGGGGGAGAGGGAGGGAGGAGAGAGAGAGAGAGAGAGAGAGAGAGAGAGGGAGAGAGAGAGAGAGAGAGAAGAAAAGAGGAGGAGACAAAGAGAGGGGGGACAGAGAGAGAGGGAGAGCAAGAGAGAGAGAAAGTGAGAGGGAAAGAGAGAAATGGAAAGAGAGAGATAGGGAAAGTGAGGGGGAATTGTAAGAGAAAAAGAATAATTGTGAGATAGATGGAATAAGTAAACATAAAAGATAGAATAAAATGAAAAAAAAAACTGTCAGAACAAGGAGGGTAAGAATGAAAAGTAGAGATAAGGAGAGATGACGGTAAAAAGACAGCGAGAGATGGAGAAGAACAGAGAGAAATGGAAGGTGTTATGCTCCTCAGCAGTCAGAGAGAGAGGACAAAAAAATATTTGGAAAGTGGAAACTATCTGTGCTTGTTGCTGCTCTGAATTAATGGAAAGATTTGGACTGTTGTTGTTGATGCCAAACTGATTTAGCTGGAGGCCGTGTTGCACAGACAGACCTCCCAGTGTCAATCAATCCTCCAGACTGCAAACACACAGCTATCTCATTCATTACAGCTATCTGCCTTGGCTGTCTCTCTTCTGGCATTACATCGCCCGTGGCTCCTCGCTCTTCCCACATTGGATCCATCCAAAACAAACACCACTCTGATTGGCCATGGGTCCTTTACCTCTGGGTGGCCTATAATGTCACTCGTCGTAAGTAATCACACACACACAGGTAACTACACAGATTGGCCGGCAGTATGGGACATCTTTGTTGTGTTTTCTCTACATGATTTGATATAAAAATTATAAATAGCGCACTTATAGAAATTAACTGAAACTGGTATCTAAGTATATTACTCTAAAAACATCTTTTTACCCTCAACTTATCTTATCTTGGGACAAGGACACACAAACACGTACATAGGAGTGAGGAGGAAGAGAATCTTTGTCGTCACAGCGCCTCCTCTTTGCCTCTGCGCCTCCCTGTGAGGAGGAGTACCCTCCTGAAGGACCCTGGCGCTCCTCGTTAGGCTGACTGTCTGTTGATGACACTGACTTACTCTGGAGAGAGACAAGCGCACACACACACCGTAAGAATGAACACACAAACTCTTAATGGTGCAGCAGTAAAGACAGGTGATAAAAGACACATCTGACCAAGAACTGTAAAAAAAAAAAAAAAAAAAAAGAAATCGTAAAAAAAAGTCTTTATACGAAGTCAGCATTGTGCAAACACATAAAACAAAACAAAACATGCATACACAGTCACTATCTTGTAAGACATACGTTCCTGTTAAGAAGAGAAAAAGACACAGTGCAGTAACACAATCATGAGCAGAAAACCCCATAAAAACTCTCATGATAACATTACACTCACACACATTAAGAACAGCCGACGTAAGCACAGGTCAAGTCGCAGCCATAGACGCAGATGAGATAGCCTATACAGCTAATTAGTGTGCACCCCTGGACACACCCGTCCCTATGTAAAATATGACTCTCATTATTGGGCAATAAAGCTGTGCAGGCGTATTTACAACACAGGCCGGCCCGCTGCTCAGCACTCAGAGGAGCCAATCAAAGCATTGTGTTGTTTTAGCGTCAGGGTAGGGGCCAGAAGTTCGATGAGGGCCACTTGTCTTTTTCTGTCCCCCTGTGGGGAGGACAAGAGCAGTGAGGTTTCAACACGCCAATGAGTCACACAGGAAGGAGCCCAGGGGGGTCGACAGGAAGGCGAGCCCCAGACAGAGGAGAGGAGGAACCACACAATGGAGCACAGTGCGGCTCAACAAATTTCCCTCTCTTCCTTCTTCTTCTCCTGACTTCCTCTCACTGTCCCTTTCCCCCCTCTGTTTAAAATTCCAACATGTTTTACTTGTGCAGGACTCTCTGACTAATGCCGATTGATATGCATCCCTCCTTACGCCTTCTCTCCACCTTTCCTCTCCTCCCTTTGCCAACATTGTAATGCTCGGCTAAGTTCCGCACAAATCTCAACTCATAGGAGAAATATTTTCCTGATGTTTAACTACCACCATTGTGTTTAGCAATTCAATTATGTTAAGGGTTTCACTGCGGATAGAAAGGGAGAGAGGGAAACTTAAGTCAGTGGCGCTCTTAAATCATTTTAATTCAACAATAACAGCCAGAACAAAGACTCTCTGAGTTTTTCTTTAACAACCTTTCCCTCCCTATTTTCTTCCTCTTCTTTAGTCTCTTCCCCCCCTTTTTCCATTCTAATTTCACTCTCCACCTCCCTCTAACATCCTCCCCCTTTCTCTCTGTGTTATCAGCAGTCACACTGATGAAGGCCAGCTGTCCACTGCAGCCAGTACAGTAAGGGAGTGTTCACACGGCTTTCATTAAAGCAGCCAGAGAGAAAAGACTAAACCATACACGGCCATTGAATTTCAATCAGCACATTTGCACTGCATTCATTCTCCAGGCAATTAACAGGGACTTTTAATGACAGTGACATAAAATATGTGAGAACCTGTGAGGCCAGATGAGCACTACCCTTTTTTTTTGGAAAGGATGGATTTGGTTTATTTATAAACTTAATTTAAAAATGAAGTGAGTGTTTAATCGGCCTGTATCACTGAACAGTGATGATGTTCACCAACATTGAGTCAGACAGCGCTACAGTGTCTGTCTCTGCTAAAGACAGACCACACTTTTTGAATGTCATGGGTAAAATAACACATGCATGATGTTTTTTTGAGGTCTTGGTGTATTGTTAACAAAGAATAGAATAGAATCATTTTAAGTCAATCATTTGATGTAGTTTTGTTTTTTAGTTACCCATGTGCCGCAGCAGTTTCAGGGGGGTTGCTTAGAGAAGTCACGCTATATGATATCGTCATACTCTGTGCTTTACAAATTCTTATTTTATTAATTAGTTTTAATGTTCAGGATTATTAATACTTCACAAAGAGTCTTATAATCAGTCTTTAAAAAAGAGCAGTGAGGGTGACGAGCAGATCCAAAGACATATATGCACACTTAATGCACGTTGGAGGTGTTTGGACAGCATGACAGGTAACAGAGACTGCAGTCTGCACACTTCATTGGTAAACTGAACTACATTCAAACAGATGATCAGTTAAAGTTTTCAAGGCTGTGCACCTGTGCATGAAATGGCTCACTACCTCACCCACTATTTCATATAAATATTGATTGATATAAGCTCTCTATCTCTCTCCCTCAGAAGTTGTTTTAAAGTTATTCAAAGAATAATCGACTTCAACTCCAAATTCTGGGGAAACATCTAGTTCTGTTGCTCTCTCTGACAGGATGATTAGACATCTTTGATGACTGAGTATGTTGAAAATATCTCTGAAACTCCTCAATGTGTGTATAACAACCTGCTGTGAGTTCTATCACTTTACAGGAGGTATTATAAACCAACTATGATAGTAAACAGGTCGAAAATGAGCACACATATCAGTGTACTACATCTACCGGTACATATCCCAAGAAATGGGCTAAATATTTTATATATATACTATATATATATATATATATATATATATATATATATATATATATTTTTTTTAAACATTTTTATAGGATGATGATTTTAATTGTGCCTGATTCAAGGGGATGCTGCAGCACTCTCAGCACCCCTACCTGGCGCATTCTCTGAACATTCGATGCATACAAAATTCCGTAGAGCATCAGGTCATTCAGTCTTTTGAAGCATAGTGAGTGAAAGGGAGAGCTGCACTTGGTGTTTTTCTTGATAATTATGTCTGAGTGTGGTGTTAAATTATTAGCTCGTCATCAATGATCCAGTATCATTGTATTCTCTTATGCAATGACGATTCAATTCCTCTTCTATACTATAATTTTCCAGATGTTTTTTTTTTTTTGCCTTGGTTTTGAGAACTATATAACAGCCAGTTGTTGATTTATTTTTGTATTCTGATAAAGTTGTGTCGCTATTTAGAAGAAAGCGTTGAAATAGATTTTATTTACCCTTTCTGTAATGGAACATGTGCAAGTTTATACCAACATTTTACTTAAGATTCAAGGAAGAGATTCTGTTGGGAATTAAACTTTCAAACACTTATCACAGGTCTGCTGGGAAATATTTGGAGCTTTTTTTTCCCACATCAGACATGAAGAAGTCTCCTGTAGCTGAAAATGTACAGTATCAACTGGATGCATAGTACAGTCAAGTAAATACTGTAAGCAACTTTCTGCAGACACTCACTGGTAAGTTTTGGGCAGTAAGCAATTTCAGTGGGTTTTAATCCTTTAATTGTTCTTTAAGTCTTGTAGATTACTAAAACATTTGTGGTGCTGATTAACAAACACTTGCTTGTTCATCCATTCAGTCGATTTGTCCTCTCCTGTAGATAGCAGTGAAACCCTGTGAGCTTGGATGCTGGTGTGATGGAGAAAAACCTTGAGAAGCTCAAGGTTGATAGCGCTGAGCGGCTATTGTGCCCGTGTGGAGCTGTGCTACTGCTGGCTGAGCTCCAGCAATACACAGCTCTTTTTTCATAGACGCCACTTTACAGTGCATCTCCATTTCCATCCGTTTATCACTGTCACACACACACACACACACACACACACACACACACACACACACACACACACACACACACACACACACACACACACACACCACACACACACACACACACAAAGACATACTGAACACACTACACAGCTACTCACCCTGCTGGGTGCTCCCTCTGGGACGGGGCAGAGCACAGTAAGGAGAGAGAGCAGAGTATAGAAAGAAAATTAGAGGGTGAAAGAGAGGGAATGAAGGGGAAAAAAAGGAGAGTTTGACGTCAGTACTGATAATCAAAATAACAACGGTCTCCCCAGTCGGCCAAGGTTAGGCTGAACTACAACTGTTCCTCTCTAATAGAGATACAGACCTGCTATTGTGCCTGATCCCAGACTCCTCTCTGTCTTCCCTCTCTCTGTTCTCCAACAGACAAAGCTTGCTCTCTTCCCCTGCTGCCTCTTTCAATGCTCACTATCTTCACACTCATTCTTTCTCTCATTTGTAAGAACAGACACATACAAACACACACACACACACACACACACACCACACACACACACACACACACACACACACACACACCACACACACACACACACACACACACACACACACACACACACACACACACACCACACACACACACACACACACACACTCTCATGAGCAAAATGATCCCTCTATCTCTCCCCCTCTCTCCTCTGATGTTCCTTTTCTTTCCTGTCTTTCTAGCTCTGGCCTTATTCATGAGAAAGTCTCTCTTGGCTTGATGCCTGATACAGAGAGAAAAGATAAGATATTGTATCGGGGTGAATGAGAGTTCGCAGGGAGAAAACGTTTCTCCTGCATTTACACAAGTGGCTTGAATACATCTGTCCATATTATGACAGCAGTCTAAACAAGAAAGTTCAAATTCAGTCCAAAAGGTGACTTGCTGTACAAGTGACGCAAAAGCTGCCTGTCACAAATGATGTATAGTATTGCTTTGCATTTTATCTGCTCTGTAATGATATCTTTCTCTTATTCTGCAGCTGTCGTCAGAGCTCCAGAGTTGTGCCTTATCTAGTCTGAAACTAACTGAAATAAACACTGCATGCACACATGAACACACAAACAAGATGTTGTTTAAGAAAAAGATCATTCTTGTTTGCATGCTGTCTGATTGTTTTATTCCTGATGATTTCCCAGAATCCTTATCACTGTCTCACTTGTATTGACATAAAAGACTTTTCGGGTTCATATTGCAGTGGTTCTCAATTGTTGGGTCGGGAACCAGAGGTGGGTAGTGGAGCCATTTTCAGTGGATCCCTAATGTGTGCCTGGAAACAAACTTTTTAAACATGTTTTTGTTCCTTCTGTCGCATGTTTTGTAACGTCTGAGGTCCAAACTGCACAATTTTTCATTGAATAAATCTGATTGGTCGAAAAATATCCCAAATTTGGGTCGCACAGAGGAGTAGGTGGTGGGTCCCAAAACTAGACGAGTTGAGAACCACTGGCCTAGTGGATAGGCCCCATGTACGGAGGCCATAGTCCTTCAAGCAGGCGGCCCATGTTCAGGTCAGAACTTTGACTACTTTCCCGCATTTCATTCCCCACTCTCTCTCACTCATTTTCTACTCTATCCACTGTCCTCTTAAATAAAGGCATAATAGTCAAAAATTCAATCTTTAAAAAAAGACTTTCAATAATGAGCCCTTTTCCAAACACTGACTTTCTTTTTATAAAATAATTTTGACTTACAAAACTTTAGCATTTCTTTTCCATTTCTCAAAATTTGAACTCAAGTTTTTTTTTTATCTTGCTGTTAATGCCACAATGTTTCTATGATATCATTAGGATAAATATTCTTATAAAGGTTGGATCCTGAAACTGTGTATCTGCTTACTTCTAGTCAACAAGAACAGGCTGCCAATTCAGGTCTATAAAATATGATCTAGCTTCATCAGAGGCACAGTTTTACATTTTTTCTGCTCTGGAGTCACATCTTATCAAAACATTTGAAACTATTTTTATAAACAAGGGGGAAAAAAATGTTGATAGTACCTCTGAGATGTTCAGGGTCAAGGTGGTTTCTCTCATCTTTGGAGGAAAGGTGAGCCGAGACCCCCAGGGCTCCGGTCAGGGCAAGGAGCCCTGAGCCTCCGGCACCCAGAGACAGGCCTGATGGGTGCGGCGTGAGGGGGATGCCAGGGGCATGGTGAGACAGGTGCTGGAGCTGCTGCTGCTGTGGCCACAGGGAAAGGAGGGAGCCGGGAGAGAGAGAGTGGGGGAGGGAGGGAAGGAGGGGTTGGTGTCATACAAGGGGTTGGTTGGTTAGAAAAAAAACAAGGTTGAGAAAATAGAGATATAAAAAGGAGATGGAAGAAAGTGACAAAGGAGAAAGAAGGGGGGGAGTAAGAGGAAGTGGGGGTGGTGTGTTTGGAAAGGGGATGTGTGATAGCAAGGAGAAAGGGAGGAAGTGAAATCAAATCAAATCCACATGGACAGCTCAACAGACAGAGAGGGAAATCAGATGAGGGAAGATAGGATGTTAAAGAGATTAGTTGATTAAGAGGTGAAAAAGATGGACACCAAGGACGAGCACAAGGAAAAAGAAGGGAAGAAGGTAATGAAATGCTCATGATGCACAGGGAAATGGAGGTGGAAACAGAGACGAGGAAAAAAAGGAAAGAATGAGGAGAAGAAATGGGATTTAATATGAAGGAGAAGCAGGGTGAGGAAGACAGAAAGAGGCCAAGGAAAAACACAAAGAGAGAAAGAGAAAATGATGGGGAGGAACAGAGGGAAGTCATGGTGGAAGCAGTGAAAAGTGAAGGAGAATTAAACAAGCAGGAGGGAGAAGATAGGGAGAGACAGTAAATGAGCACATAAAGAGGGAGGGAGAATGTGCAGTGGAGAGAGAAAGAGATAATACAAAGTAAAAAAAAAAGAAAAAAGAAAGGAAGAGGAGAAATGAGGACATGGCCAGTAAGAGAGAGAAAGACGTGAAAAAATCCAGAAGGAAAAAGAGCAGAAAGACAAAGAGGAGACCGGAAACAGAGGATGATGGGGGATAGAGAGAGAGAGGAGCAAAAGAGCAACTAGAGATAAAAAAGGAAGGCTATTATCCTGAAGGGAGCTTTATGATGTGTTTTTTTCTATGTGTTGTTTTGTCAGCCTGGTGTGTTTGGACACACATACACTCACACAATCACACACCTTAGAGACAGCAGTGTTTGTAGTGCTGTGCAGAACAAAGGACTCTAAGTAGACAGTAATGTGATCAGTGCTCTGACAAGCTCTGGAAAGCCCCATCTACTGCAGCACTCAGGAACCATGACTGTGTGTGTGTGTGTGTGTGTGTGTGTGTGTGTGTGTGTGTGTGTGTGTGTGTGTGTGTTTGTGTATATATAAGCACATACAAGTGCAGGCAAGAAGATCCTGCTCTAAGTCAGGTGATCATACATTATTAAATGCAGGTGTAGGGGTATTTTCAATGTATAGCATGTGAGCAAGACAACGCTAGAGACAAGGTTTGTATTTTATTTGTTTTCACATTTTCCTGAGTCCGTCTGTATTTTAGCTTCATTTTTTTTCTTCATGTGAAATGTGTGTTGTCCAGAAGGCTTTAACCACATACACCTAAATATTACTAAATAATGCACATCCTAGTTTTGTAGAAGAGTAAGTAGACTGTGCTATAAAACTCAATCTGACAAGAATTAATGTCATTAGAAATAACTTCAAAAAGGAATTTGTTACTCTTCAACATTTTTGAGAGGACAATTTCAATGTAGGACATGGAGCAAAAGCGTCCATGTTCAAGCCATGTTTAATCATTTCTTTATAGGTACTCATTAAAACTAGCAGTAGGGGGCTTTATAAAGTACTGCACCACAGCTATTACTGGTAGTAAGTCTATCGTGACATCTTGATTTATGCAGATGCAGCCTTAAAATTGGGAACAATTATCAAACAGGAACACTGCCACAACTTATTAATCATGCTTTATATAAAAGAGGCTGACTCCACACAGGGGAAGAGATGCTGATGAACATCTGTTTGTAACAGCTTGGCTCTCTTAGTGAAAAATAGAAAGTAAAAAAACACAAGAATTATAGTTATTTATGGTCCAGACTTCATTTAGAAAAAGAATAAAGCTTAAAAATGTCCATTGGTTTCCCCCAGTCCTAACGCCTGCCCCTATCTGTGGATTATTTTTTTTAGACCTACATACTACATTTCATTACACATTCAAAGCCTAGTGACAGGCTATTTAATTAGTTGACTCATCAACCAGTCAGACTGTTCAGAACATTTCAAGTAAATGTGTGTGTAAGTGTTTGTGCTGTCAGGACGAATAGAGGTGACTCACCCCGATAATGGCGTTCAGCTCAGCCATCGTGACTTGCTTAGCCCTCTCCACTGCTTGGACCACTTGTTGCTGGTGCTACACACACATACAGATAAAGTATTATGACACATAATTACACATTCAGAGACAGGAAGTAAGGAATACATTGGCAATCATAACATGAATCCAACTTAAGAAAAGCTCTAAGAAAAGGTGTTAAAACATATAAACTCTTCTTGTATAATAAGACGTACAAATATATCTGTCTCTATTTAGCAGCCATACATTCACAGGACACACCCACTGACATCACAGTCACACAAAGAGAAACACACACACACTGTACAGACAGCCACACACAAATGCTCAAAGACACACTTACTAAAATCCCTGTTCTATTTGCACAAAATCCCAATGTTATCAGTCACACAAACACAAATATTCATCAGTGCTATAATACTCACACACAAACAAACAGTGTCAATATTGATCAGACTGACAGAGCTGTGACCATCCTGTCTCCAGGGACCAAACTCATCATTTCACTCTCACTCTCTCACATGGAAATAAGTGTTAGCACCGTTTTTTTTTTTAGCACCAATCTACAAACACACAGAATAACCAGCGCACAAAAGAGTAACACACACGTACACACACACACATACACAACTTTTCCAAATATTAATATACATTTCAACAACCCTCCTTTCCTTGATTTTTAAGGTTGCACTGAGCAGAGATTCTGGAAATTATGTTGCCAAATGAAAATATTGCAAAGGCTACATTTAAAGTGGGGGCAGTAACTGAAACATAATTGGTTCTGAATGTTGGGAAAACAAAGTCTTCAGTCCTCTTTAAGTCAGTTATCGTTCTTATTTCCTTTATAGTAGGCTCTTTCATTATTATAAATAGTTCTATAATGTTTATGCTGACATGGGCAAATTGTTTAATATCAGGTCATCTTGACTTTGTGAAGACATTTCAGTAACAAACCACCTGAGTCAATATGAGGCACATGCAGCACAGCACCATGGGACAGGAGTTCTTAAATCCAACAGAAACCAGCTGATCTTGACATGGCTGTCCTTAAAGAAAAACACTTTTTTCCTTTCACTAGTGAACTATGAAGATAACATTTCTGCATGAAAAATGCTACATATATATATATATATGAGCTTCAGGACTTTGCCATTATGGTGTATTATTTTTTTTTTAACAGATTTCCCAGAAATAAATTCTGTTGCTCTGTTACATTTGCACATCACTCTCTTATTAGAGATGTTTTAATTACAGATAAGTGCAAATTTATTAATTAACAACTAACAGGATTTTGTTCTCCTCACCCAGAAGTACCCAAAAAGTTGAACCCATGTTCAACAATAACCTGCATCAAAATGTTTGCTGTGATCTTGTTTTACTAAATGATAAGTCAGATTGTGTTTTTAGTGAGGATGTATTTAGCCAAAAGGGATTTGTTAAGATAAGAACGTTTTTCTGCTTTTTAAAAAGAAAAGGATGATAAATCCTGCAGTTTGCAATAATTGGGATGAAACAACCAAGGAGACAATTGACAACTCTGTGGTCTTTTATGACGTAGAATTCCAAATTTACAAGATTTTTTCCACTTACATATGATAAAATTAACAGTAGGGCTTATTCGATATCTACCTCTGAGTCATGTAGTGTTCAACTACAACAATGTAATGACATGTTAACAGTGGTGCAAAAGTACTCAGGTCTTTATCTAGAAATACAAGTACCAACAAAGCAGTATGGGATCACAGTTACAGTACGAGTATAAGCAATGCGTTCCAAATGTTTAATTTATCACAGATAAAAGTAAAACAGTATAATCTCTAAAATATACAAAATGTTTAACTTGCTTATTACAGAATCATATTTATAGGAGTCTATTTTTTTAACTTAAAATGCAAAGAAGATATGATATAAGCCTGGGGAGGTGAAGAATTGTCTCCTTTTTATGTGCCTGCATATTTGGAGTAAGTGTGTCTGGCAGCAATGACACTCACCTCTTGAGAGAGGAAAGGGATGATCTGAGCGCAGATGGCACTGAGACGCTTGACAATCTCCGCCTGGGAAGGAAAGAAAAAAAGAAAGAAAGAGAAGTGAGAGACAGAAGGAGAGAGGGAGAATATATGATCATTTCCTGTACTGTAAGATAATAAGTGCACCTTATGATGCACCTTTACAGCACATTAAGCCTCTGCTGCATTAAAACACCTTTCTAATGAGCAGGGAGGTCTGTCAGTGACACTTCTATGGACAGAGAAAAGAGAAATGGAACATGGAGGCAGCTTTAGAGCATGTGGTCTTTTAGCACCATCAACACAGATTTACTGAAGCTCAGCCTCACACACTCATACCCTCCTTAGTGTCTCTCTCTCTCTCTCTCTCTCTCTCTCTCTCTCTCTTCAACACACACACACACACACACACACACACACACACACACACACACACACACACACACACACACACACACAAGCATACAAGCAAAGAAAACCACACATCATTACCGTTACATTTGTCCATTTCCTAAAACTCATAAAAATGCCCTTCTTACCCACACACTTATGAACACACATGTTACCAACCTAGTACCACATCTGCAGAATACTGCCGCCTGTACACACAATGCAAGTGTACACATAAACACACAAGCACACACTCTCTCTGTGAGAAACGTACACAAACACACACACACACACACACACACACACACACACACACACACACACACACACTGAACCCTTTGCAGTGTGTCTAATTCTATCTGTCTGAGTGCCCTCAGCCTCATTTTGTTCTCTTCTTCACTCAGCCGTTCTCTCTTTTTCTACAACAGCTCTCACACTGAGCCATTATTACCCTATTCATCCTCTTCCTCCCTTCGCTCTCCCCGTCTCTCTCTCACTCTCACTCTCTCTCTTATCCCTGGCTTGCTTTGTCTAATTTTCTCCCATCCTTCTATTTTTCCCTACCCTATTTCCTTTCTCCCCATTTTAATGTATCTCCCCCTCTTTTCTCTCTTTCCTTTTCCTTTAACATCAGTCGCTCTCTTCTGATTTGTCTTTGTTACTTTGCAGCCACACATTAGCACCGCCATACAACATTAACACACTTCATTTTCATTCTTTCTTCCTATTTAGCTTCCTCTCTCCACAGCCCTCTATCCTTACTAGCACATGTTTCTGGCTCATGAAGATACTAAGGAAGGAGAGAGAAAGACTTTGAGGGGGTGATGCAGGGCAGTGCAATGAATGACAGGGTTGTACACACCATCA